GAAAGAGTTTACAGCAGAGACAGTTTACACCAGACAGCGTTTACACCAGACACCGTATACACCAGACACGGTTTACACCAGACGTCGTTTACACCAGACAAAGCCAACAAAGGTTTACACCAGAAAAAGTTTACACCATAGACAGTTTACACCAGACAGCGTTTACACCAGACACCGTTTACACCAGACATGGTTTACACCAGACATGGTGGAAACCATTGCAGCAGCAATTATAAGGCGATTAGCAACAAAAGATTGCAAAACACCACGTAACTACGCACTGAACGATGACACAGGAACACCTTCGAGCCAGAACTATAAGGCGAATAGCAACCAAAGCGTGTAAAACACCATGTAACTACGCACCGAACGATGACACAGGAACACCTTCGAGCCAGAACTATAAGGCGATTAGCAACCAAAGATTGCAAAACACCATGTAACTGCGCACCGCAAGCACAGAGAATAGCCTCCCAAAACCGGATCTCGACGTCCAAGCTCCAAAAATTGCGATTTCGAAGCGTTTTTTAAAAGAGATTTATAAGAAAAATGAAAGCGGCAAAACTTGGAAAAAAGTACGTTGGAAACCATTGCAGTAGCAATTATAAGGCGATTAGCAACCAAAGCTTGCAAAACACCACGTAACTGCGCACCAAACGATGACACAGGAACACCTTCGAGCCAGAACTATAAGGCGATTAGCAACCAAAGCTTGCAAAACACAATGTAACTACGCTCCGAGCGATGACACAGGAACACCTTCGAGCCAGAATTACAATGGGGGAACGCTCCGGGCACAGACCATGGAATCGCATTTCCCAACGAGTATGAAGTCCGCAGCGCACATTCGCGACATCCTTGCGACCAGAATTACAATGGGGGAACGATCCGGGCACAGACCGGGCACAGACCTTGGAATCGCATTTCCCAATGAGTATGCGGTCCGGACCGCACATTGGCGACATCCTTGTGACCAGAATTATAATGGTGCGCCCAGCCGCGCTCAGACAAAATGTACGTTTCACCACACGTTCGTGCACTCGACACGCACGATCTCCGCAGAGGGTTGCTCGAGGGCAAACCTTGAAACCAGAATTACAATGGGGAAACGCAAAATCGACAAAACCTTGTCACCAGAATTATAATGGCGGAACGCACCGCGCACACCAAAAATGTACGTTTCACCACACGTTCGCGCGATCGACACGCACGATCTCCGCAGAGGGTTGCTCACGGACAAACGCGATTCGCGTCTCACCACACGCGCGCGCGATCGATGGCCACGATTCCACGAGAGGGTTGCGTTTCGTAAGACCTGCTCGCACCGCCCCGCCGCCTAAAGAGAAGAATAAAGAAGAAGTTGGGTAGGTGAAGTTGGGTAGGTGTCTTAAGGAAGATGTCTACACCTACCTATCTTCACCTACCTATCTTCACCTACCTATCTACACCTACCTACCTACACCTACCTGTCTATACCCACTTATCAATACCTACCTATCAATATCTACTTCTGATGTACTTTGATATTGTTGATCTGATACTTCTACTTCATATGTTATGTTGTGATGTGATATTATTTTATCACATGATATGAGATGATATGATCTGACATTGATGTGATGTGATATGATATTAAAACATGATATGATATGATATGTTATGACATTGATGTGATGTGATATGATATTATAACCTGATATGATATAATATGATATGATATGAGATTAATAACCTATGAGGTGATGATTAGATGATGATGTTGTGAGGGTGAAGTAGGAGAAAGTTAGTAAAGAATATGAAGTAAGGAAGGTGAAGTAGGATAAAGAGAGTCAGGAAGAGAGAGTGGGGAAGATGAAGTAAGAGAAAGAGAGTAAGGAAGAGAGAGTGGGGAAGATGAAGTAAGAGAAAGAGATTAAGGAAGATGAAATAGGCAGCAGTGCTTAAGGAAAAACCCTTCGCAGGTGCTTTCGGGAACAAACCCAACAAAAAACTTCAATCAAACAGTCCACATCAAAAAACATCAACCAGAAACCAATTCTTCAAATTTTCGGGCAGTTCATCCACGTCCTCAAATTGGCGTCAGCCGAAGACAAACAATGGAAACCAACGAGCATTCTCCTGCCCTTGAGATGAAAAACGCATAGAAAACAAAGAAATGCAATGCAAAGAACATCCGTTTTTTTGGCAATCCGAAGCAACCGTAATCCGAAACATTGAGTGCAAGGACTGTGGGATTCGAGCTCCAAAGTCTGATTCCCTGGAGCAAAGCCTATTTATAGCAGTTCGTATGTGAAGGCATTAAGAGGAGTTACCTTTGTGGAGAACTAACATTGTGGGGGAACACACAATCCTAGCATCTGCAACGTATGTTATTAACCCCCCCACCCCCCTGATAAAACCTGAAAAACATCAAAAAATGTACGAAAGACAATGGGAAAATAGGACCAACAACAAAATTCGGACCAACAACTTTAAACTTTAGAGACTCATTTAGACATTAAAACAAAGTTGCCTGTAATACATTTCAAACTTTTGACCCAGACCTTGATGATGTTTCTTTTGTTCTTTATTCCCAAGGAATACCTTTTTGCCTTCCATTTCCAGTTCTTTTCCATTTTCCGTTCCTAGAATCATGTCATTGATTTCCTTTTTGATGTTTTTTTTCTTATTTTATTCCTGACATATTCCTGAGGTAATTCACCATTGTGGATTTAATAGAATCTGCATGCAGGCAGCTTTGGAACATCACGTTAAAGGTTTGTCGGTTTGTCTCAGGATTCCAGCTTTGGCCATTCTGTTTGGAAGGTTGGGCTGTTTCAGCTCTCACTCTCTCTCTCTCTCTATTCCTTGATTTGATTCTCGTCCACAGCTGAATCTGCGGCATGTTTGCGCACATGAGGCTTTGGCATCGTGACCAACTTGACAATCCAACTCTTCAACCATTCAGAGAGCACCTTGATTGCATACGGTCGGCCGGCACGCTCCGTATACAGGGCAAAAATGACCCAAACCAATGAACTTTTGGAAAAGGACCTTGGATCCTGAACCCTTTCCCATCGTTTTCCCATGCAGTTGGTTGCCTTTCGACTACGTCCTCAGCAAAATATGATCCTTAAAGCTACATGTGTTACATGGGCCTCGCAGGGGTGTAGAATCAACATTGGGGCCTGCCTCATATGTTCCCATCCAGTGTCTCTCCAGCAAAGAACCTGCCCAAATGAATGAGACATTCGCAGCTCGTTTCTTTTTATTCCAAGGATCCTTTTGGTTTCTGCCTGTGCTGAATAGCTTCGACTACCTGCTCTCTGTTTTGCCTGATGAAACCAGTTTCGGATGGATTGGACTGGCCCGATGGGATTCGGTGTTCTATCAGAAGAACACGATCTTGGGGTCTGGCTGGTCGATAGCCGGAAGAGTCAGCCTGTTTTACATATACATATATATATATATTTATTCTATTTATTTATCTATTTTGCTTATCCCAAGTAGTCCTAGTTTGTCATTGATCCCCGACCAGACAAAATCACATTCAGCATGTTGCCACATGTCAAAGACAAAGGTCTTTTGCTCGTGTTTTTTCCCTCCATCATGCTCCACTATAAGGTTCTTGCAAATTGTGTTGAAGGACGATAGCATGTGGACCAAAGCCAAAGCCGTGGCGTGGATTATGTCCAAGCTCATCATCATTGGGATTACGTACCAGTCTCCTTACAGCTTCCCCAGCAGTGCTGAAACCTGGGACTTGGGGACGCTTGGCAGAAGAAGGAACCATGAGTCAGATGAGGTTGTGAAGTCTTTGGAAGGAGTGAAAAGGTACTGCGTGGTATGAAAAGGAAGACGAGAATGCACAGACCATCCATGTAGGGAGTCGCATACATTTACCCCATCTGTCTGCGGAACCATTCCATACACTTCACGCTGCCCAGAGAAGTGGTGATCCGATGAAACAACTCTTTTGTTACAGCCGATCCGACAGCTCTATCCCTTCGTGGTACTTTCAGGCGCTATCCCTTCCAGACTGCTTCAGTCTTCACGCGCTTCTATCCTCGCACAGAGATTCGGGGCGCCGCCAAGCTCCTGGAAGGGTTCTTCGCACAGCACGCCGCGGACTGCCGCTATAACTTGGGACCCATCCAGGGAACAGCGCCACGACTCCCACTGGTGACGGTTCCTTGGTTTCAGTTGAAAGAAGGCTCTGAATTTGTGGTCCTGGCACCATCCTGGACCGGACAAAGCTCCAAATTTCTAGCGTTTTCTTCAAAAAAACAGCTCCAAATCAAATCAAAGGGGTCAAGTCTTGGACTGGATCCACGGACTCGGAACTGCCACCTTTTTGAGGGTTCCCACCTAATAGCGAGGGCCTCCAACCTGAAAGCATGAGGAGCCTCAGGTGAGCAGGTCGGCTCGCTCCGCAGGTGGAATGCAACACGCCGAGCTCTGCCGAGTTGTTGAAGCAGTTCGTGAAGGAGAACAGCAACGTGCTGCAGCCAAACCGGCCAGGATCTGGAGACCCGGTGTTGTTTTGGAATGTTTGGGAGGTTCGTGAATCGGGTGAATCTCCCTTAATATTAATATCCCTTAATTAACCCTTTGCAACATTGTTTTTGTTTTTGTTTTTTTTTCTCTCTCTCTCTCTATAAGTGCATTTATCTAGGAATCTATGGTTCCTTTTTTGTCAGGTTCGTGATCAGATTTGGTCAGCAAATCCGAGGATATATTAACCTGCCATTGGATGGTAGCAGTTCCTATCGGCAGGCGTATTTTCCACAATATGAAGCTTGGAATTACAAAGGAAGGATGAATCAAATCACATGCATATGGAGGGCATGTCCACTATATCATTCAGATAGCATTGCAGTAAGCTTACTAGCAGACCCCCATTCCGATGTGAAGGAGCCTCACAAGCTTTCAGAACATGTCACCTACGAGCTAGATTCAAAGAAGAGTCAAAGCCGCAAAGTCGCCGCTGCGGTATAGATTTGTCTTCGCCGCCTAGGCACAGCTCTCTGCAACCAAATGCATTTGGGATCCCACCGATTTCTTCTTCCTGGAAAACGGCATTCATCCATCTGGCTGCGATTCCGCACGTGCTGAGCCTGTGAAGAAGTAGGTGCACGGAAGGGTGTACGAGGATGATCAGCACCGGTTTGATTGAAGTAAATGAGTGATTCGGAAGCGGACGAAATGATCATGGGCTTGCCGGCTTTATAGAATCCTCTTCAAGGGGACAAATATATGAATATATAAGCAAGCTAATTTTACTACATGAATACCATGAGGTCCACCATTTTCACCAACGAATCAGCTACCTTCCGCACCGTGAACTACTTTGGGCACCTCACTATCTCAAAGTATGACCTCTGCAGCTTGTTTGCTCTCAACTCTTGGGGCTACCTGGTGGGCTACCCATGAAACCCCAACAGTGGCAGAGTTGTTCACTTGTTCACCTACAAAGACCTTCATCTTCAGGGATTGGTTTCCGTGACCTTCACCAAAGACTGTCAACTGCGGGAAGAGTGGGGAGGGCCCTGAGCGAAAAGAGCTTTTCACGAGAAACATGGAAGTTGGTGTGGACATCCACTCCGAAAGAGGAGGAGGAGAATCGATTTCCTAGGGGACCATGCCCTTTGCTTCCATGTTTCCTGGCAAGAGTTTGACAGAAATGTCTCAGAGTTGTGGCCGAGAATTGATGGTTTTATTTTGCTCGGCCCGTTTTTGCGTGGCGTGAAATGCGCCGACAGTGCAGCAAAGCCTGTGTCTTCGGTGAAGCCAAAAGTGGAGCGGAGCTGAAAGCGCTTGAGCGGGTGCCCTGGCTCTCCGACGGCAGACGACATATTATTCAATTCTGGCAAGAAGAAAGGTGTGTCTAAACTTCTCTTTTTTTTCCGGACCAGCCGAGGAAAAACCTTTCGGCATTCCTATATTATACATAAGCATCCTCTCCTCAGACAGTTTGTTTCTGCGGAGTGTCCCTTGTTTGCAAAGTCCTTGTACCGGTCGAACTGCGGAATAGCTGCCTTTGGCCGGTTCACCAAGCCTTGCGCCCACCCCAAAAAAGAATAGGGTTCGCCAGCTTTTGGGATCGAAACAACCAATAAGCTGAGCCGCTGCTCCCTTGGCGAATCACATTAAACGGGGTTTCATGCGGATGAACAATTCCTTCAACCCAGTTAAAATAGGGGGTCACCCAAAGATGGACACCTGGGAAGAGCTTCGAAACCAAAACATCGCCTTGAAGGAAATCCTTTTAGTATAAACGCGTATCAAACACTGAAAAAGGCATCCAAAAGCATATTCCTTTTCCGTTTACAAAAAGCCTTATATTGATTCATATTGATTCTTCGATAATTCGCTTGTACAGTTTCCAACAGCCTAACTAACCACCAAAGATTTCAATTGTGATGTCGCTGGGTCATGTAGTTTTGGTGAGGCCTCGCTGGAAAGTGCGCATGCGTGTGTAAATGTGGCCAGTGATTGGCATGATCGGTGGTGATCCAAATAGGTGGTTACCTCATAAAAGACAGTTTCACCAAAAATTGCCTCGGGTGCATTTTAGTAGTAGAAACGATACAGAGCAAGCTGCAATTTTGGGTGTTTGACATGAGTTTTGGTGTGTTTTTTGTTAAAGGGCACTTGGGAATAGAAGCTATTCTGTGGCCACAAAAACCCAACCGGTGGGTTGATGGAGCCCAACCTTCAGGGTGAAGTCAGGCAGGGCTCATTCGGGGGGGGAATCTTCCAGCTCAGAGCCAGCTACGTGAATGTCCTACATCAAAAAGCTGACCAACATCAAACTGAGTGCTTCCAACGGGTGTCCTTCCTGGAAATCAGTGTAGGCTTGTCCATTGGTGGCCGCTTGGAAGAAGCTGGAAGAACTGAGCAACTCATCAGTGCTTGGAATCGATCCCGGGATGGGTCAACATGGATCATACATCATAAATCATGACACCGGAAACTTCAGGGCGGTATGGATGTCCACTGGGAAATGGGTGTTATTCACAGTTTTTATCTGTGGAATTCAAATCCGAGTCGCACTCCGGTAGTTCTAGATGTCCATGTTCAATTTGCAGAAGGAGGAGTGCCACAATTGCATTTTGATAGAGGGAGACCACCCAATTCATGGGGTTGCTCTCCCCAGATTTAGAGCTCATCGTGAAAACCACACCAATCCAGAAGTTCTGAATCCTTGGAGGTTGCAAGCCTGTATTTGATGTCATGATCGAGAAAATCAGAAAAGGTCCAGAAGCGCACAAGAACACGATCCAGTATCTTTTTATTGAATGTTTTTTCTCTCATTCACATGAACAACGTAACATAGCTATAGGTATTTTGCCGAGTCCAAACTGTCCACACCGCACGCCAGGAACACCACCAAATGGCTGGAACCACTCTGCAATGAGAGAAGCAGTGGCCCGCCGTTGCGTCACTCCAGCGTTTGGGTGTCAGACCTGCAAAAGGTAGGAGGATCCAAGAGGTACAGTACATTCGTTTTGGAGTCTTTGGAATGTCCACCTTTGTCAAGTTTAGTTGTCTCGTGAATTTTTAGGCGCTTGCACTGGGGCCCTGTCACTTCGTGGCAGCAGTTGAATCACCTCCGCCAGGAACCGCATGAAGCATTTTGTGTATCTTGAGTAGATTCGGGGTAAAGAAAGGACACTGCTGCTGGCAGAAAACTGCGAGATCGGCGCAGACTCACAAAATCTTGGCAATCTTCCAATCGCATACACACCAAAAACATGCAGATCAGCATGCGGGTCACATGCGCGACAACGCTCGCGAGCTCCGCGCCTTCTCCGAAGAAAAGGACTGCCGACCGGGCCCGTCCGCTTGAAACCCGGCGCGATCGGTGTCAAACGGATTTGTGGTGATGTTGCAATGGAAACTGCATCAGCAGTCACAAAGAAGTACGGTAGAAAAATAAGAATGGCCAAGACCTAACCTGAAACCTCGTTGCCTTTAGCAGTGGGCTTTTGGGTGATGGCCATTGGGTTGGTCGGTGGGTGGTTGGGTGATGACCTTCCGAGTTCGACCCCCTGGAAGAAGGGAAATACATGGAAAGACTCTATATTAGTCTATCTTATAAGATTCTATAAGATTAAGCACAACAAAACCTGGGGCCAGGGAGTCTGCCCATTACACACTGGCCCAAATATTGCACCGTTTTATCATCTGGGGGGCCGGGAGATATAGCCGCCGAGAGCAGCGCGTCACTTCTCCAGAGCTTTCCCGAGATCTGACGATTCTTGACGGTTTAGCGTTTTGATTCGCTTGGTTTGCAGCACCCAAAAAAGAACTGCTTATACAACACACCATTCCTTTTTTGATTTTGATCAAGGAAGCAGAGGCTTTAAACCTGCTGAGCGCCGTGGCTCAATATCGTGAACACCAAAAGATTCAGCTATATCGTCAAAACGAGCTCATTTTGACATCCAGCGACCTCTCCGGGTGTTTGGCCTGGGAATGGTCATGGGAGATAGCCCCCCGAAAGTTCTTTGCGTAGATCAGCAGACCCACATCATTGAAAAAACATCAAGACCAAAAACAACTCTAAGGAGGAAAACACGACAGAAAGAAGTCTATTCATATTGATGGCTTTAATTGTTTTTTTTATTTCAATCCTCCAATCCTACTTATATATATATATATGTATATGTGGACCTCGATCGATCTGGCCGTTTCAAGGCCACCCTTGCCACCACCGCTCGGGACCTCAACAGCCGGCCGTGGGGAAAAAACGGGCCCAAAGAAAACACGGGTGCTCCATGATGCATATTTGTATGTGTGTGTGGGGGATTTTAAATAAGTATGTTGTAAGTTTTTAGCAAGGTTGCTGCTACTTTGATTCTGTTTGACTTAAGAACCACCCACCAGGATCCATGCAAGATCCATCAAGATCCCGAATACTTGGACCAGGGAGCTCGTCATTTTGGACTACCAGGGCCACCTGGGCGAAGAAGCACTGAAAGAGGAAGGACAGGAAATGACAGGACCCACTCAGGTGGCCTCCTTGCAGAATGGAAGTGGGAGCTCTGAAAGCAGTGTATGACATGGAGAAGCATTGAGATACAGATTTATGGCATGACTTAAGCTTCTCAAGCCGAGTGTTGAAGATTTTTTGCTTTTCGGGTTTGCTGTCGCAGACCATTAAAGAACACCGGCGTGATCAAAGACGGTTATGCTTAGCCATGAGCGATATGAGTGGATGCAGTCTTTGCCACGCGATGCTGTCAAGGAGGAAGGTTTTGATCATATATGTCATGGATCATTGGTCGTGAATCTTTGTGGGAGTTCTGGTTTTGGAACAATGGTCGTTTTGATCCGAAGCTACACCTCAAGAAATCTGCGCATGATGCCCATGTGTTTTTCTTGACTTATGTTTGCCAACCCCCTTTATTCTAGAAGTTGTTCATCTTGAAGAAAAGTGACAAAATAAGCAAGAAAAATGGGATCACAAAATGAAGCCAGGAAAACAAGAGCAATCATGAAAGCAACAAAATTGCAAGCAACAATTGAACAACACAGCATGTTTGTAACAAGTAAGAAAATACCCTTGAAACAAACAGCCAGCGTGCTGCTGTACGAAAGCACGGAGCACGGAACTGATTTGATTCTAAGGATTAAAGCAATGGGTTTCGCACCTTGTACTTCCTAGGTCCTGTACTTCCTTGGCACCTGTTCCACGAAGGATGTCCTCCCAGCTCACATTGATGCAAGAACTGAGCCGCCTTGTGAGCATTGACTCTTTGCATCAAGATCTGAAAGATTTTCTGTGGCACCATCAAACCCCAAAACATCAACCTTCTACTCTGAGGGCAGGTATGCCTTGCCCATGACTGCACTCTGCTGTGGTTGGATGGTGGAAAACGTCATGGCCTGCTCCAAGCAGGCCTTCCCGGTCCCTCACGGGATTGTGAGAACCCCGTGACCCCTCCAAACAGGCGAGGGTCCAGGGTCCAGCACCGGTCCAGGTCGGAGCACGAGCGCGCGGAGCCGCCGCCGCCGGCGCGAACGGGTTGAGCCGAGGGAGACGGCGTGGTGGGTTAGGACGAGAAAAAGTGAGCCCGGTCCATAGATCTAATCTGATGGGGCCATTGGTTTCCATATGTGAATACATACAGTCACATACACTGGTCATACACAATTCGAGGAAATCCACAATGAAGAGATGTATCAAAACGAACCGTGGAGAGGAACAAGACCAAAACTGAAATCGTAACTCAGAACAGCACTGCCTTTGGAGCCAAAGGAGTGCAACTTGCCAGACGAGCACGTGGGAATTCCTGGTCGTTTCACCATTCTTGATGATGAATGACCAATCCTTTTTGCTGCAGCAACCAAAAAGATTCAGTAATGCGGAAGAGGATCATTTTTTCAGGATGATAATCTTCGGCAATTGCCCATCCATTGATGAAGAAGGTGCTCCTGCTCCACCTAGCAACCTACGACACCAGTTTGACCAGACGCCAGTTTGTTGTGAGAAGATGAGTTGAATCGCCGCCAAGCTCATGGCCAGACCGTGCGGCGGATGTGCAAACTGCTTAGCTTGAAGAGTCCAGTGCAAATAGGAAGCTGGATGGCTTACAGAATTTGTTCCTTGCCTTGGTCATGGGAAGCGCATGGTAAGATCCTTTGGTCCTATACAGCAGTCATCAAACGCCCCCCATGTTCAGCGCTGAAAAGCTCGCCAGGATGAACGGCCGCTCCTTTGGTCTCCCGGTCAGCGTGTGGTGCTCTCAGGACAGTTGCGAAGGCAGCAGGTTCTGAGAGCGTTCTATTTGGGGTTCAGAGGAAAATATTGACATGGCTTTGATTCAAAGGTGTAAAAGTATACCCAGCTTGTAGACCACTTCTTTTTCCGTTTGCCAGTGGCTTTGGAGGGAGGGTCCCTACTTCTGGTGGCCCATCGTGGCCCGTTTGCGAAGGACTCGATGATGACCTCTCCTACGATGGCATGACTGGTGTGGTGCAGTCCGATCGCCCAGAGGATGTGGATCAGAACCTTGAGCCCTTTTCAACCACTCAGGTTGCCCTGCTCATCTAGGCCATTCAGTTCATTTTCTGTGGTCAACCCAGGTACCCCGCTTTTGACCCACTGCCCCATTGACGGAGGGGGGTGGAACGCAAGTCTCCCAAGCCTCTCGGAAACGCACACCCAACACGGGGGTTGGAACAAAGCGACGCAAATCAAGCACTTATACAAGGTTGATATGGTTTGCAGGTCATGTAGCCTCTTTACGCATAAAACCTCCCGTGGAGAGGTTTTACAATCCAAATGATATATTGCATAATACAGTTACTATGTAATGAGCAACATGCTTTCCAGGCAAGCCCAAAAATCCCACTGACAGAAGAAGCTAGGCCATGTTCAATCAGATGTGACCGTGTTACAACCAGGCTTTTGCCTGCTACAGGACCCACGTGTCTAAAGGCTGTGTGTTCAAATAGGAGTCCTCCTGGCCCACTGGGCTTTAGTCTAAATAGATCTAAATAGTATGTCCCTCAAGAGGGGGTCCAAGTGGAGGATCCCTAAATTTTTCACACGCGCCCAAACAGTTCATGGAAAAGACAAAAACATCAGAAATCCCGAAATGTTCTCAAATACGCGCCACAAATCATCTCAAATCCCCTCTTTCCTTCATGGCTTTCCTGCGAAAACCCCTCTGGGATGGGATGTTCGGCAGGTTCCACGAGGACGGGGCCTATTCAGTGCAGCTCGACGAGGGATCTGTGGTGAAGGCAGGATCTGATTTGTTTTTGGGTGGCAAAAGGATCTGTTTCACCAACCTACAGGTCAGGAGAGCCCCCAATCCACTTGGCGGAAGTGCTCTTGCAACAAAGGATCATCTCCTGCAAAATGTCCGGGCGGAAAACCACCAGAACAGCACGCCAGATCGTCGACATGATACGATCAGGATCGATCAGGCCTTGGCTCTATGAGATATGTTGAACCCAACGGAGCTATGTGGGGAACACAAATCTGTAGGCATGGAAGGCAACACCTCTCATACAAGCTACTAGGAGCAAGGACGCTACTACTGTAGGGGCTCCTGGCCTTGCTACTAGGACCTAGAAACAAGGACGCTCCTAGGGGCTCCTGGCCTTACTACTAGGAACAAGGACGCTCAGCGTTGGAATCCGGCGTTCCACTGGGATTCGCATCGTTCGCGACTCAAAATAATCTCAAACAATGCGCATCAGTGTGGGTAATCGATGTCAATGCTTTGCACTGGCACAGGCACTCCATGTTTTGGGGATCATGTCCCTACATGTTTAGATATGTCACTCCATGTTTTATCGTTCCTATCATTCTAGGGTGTGTAGCGGGTGCGGTGCGATTGAGGTTGTAACTCCAAAAACATATCCTTCTCAACGTCAAGGCAAAGCATGTCAACTTAGCGCACCAAAAAGAAGCTGAGCCAGATCAGTTCCCACCTGAGCTGGGCATCGTTGGGCAGGTGGTGCCAGAGCAGCTCTCCCCAGTGACAGAGGAACAGGCGGATGGAGGGACGTTTGGATGAGAGGGAGATCTCGGTGAAGAAAGTTCCCAGGTCCTAGGTGGTTTTAGGTCGGGTTGCGTATGAAAGTTCTGAGATATGGCAGCGGCAATTCATGATACTCTCTGATCAGCTTGGATGTATTGTTTTGGTCTTTGTTTCCATCATAATTCTTTCTTATTGGTATATGGAGGACTTGTCGTCTTATTTGCACAAGATTCACGGTCAGGTCGTTGAGAGTTTCAACGAACTTGGGAAAGTGATCATGTATGAGTCTCTTTGGTCAAAGGACCGCTCATCTCTCTCCACCAGCCGGTGGATGGGTGAAATCTTTCATGCCTTATTGAGTCGCATGTCCAACTTGAAGGGAGAAGATCTTTGCATTCTTCCCCGAAAAATTAGCTTCACAGCCCCAGTTGAAACACATTGGAAAACCAAGACATTTCAGCGGCCGAGTGGCCACTTTCGGAGAGGACTCCCACACATTTGAGAATGACCACCCGCCCTTCTTTTTCTTCGTTGGTTTGCAAGGCAGCCAACTTATAAAACAACAACGGTACAGTGCATTGCGCGCGCACCTCGAGGACGTCCTGACGTTACGTTCCGTCCCGACGTTTCCAGCGTCGTCGTATGGAGAGCACCTGGAAAGAGTTGATGTCCGCACCCGGAAAGAGCCGCTCTTGCCGACACAAAAGGCAATACATTTCAGCCAAGAGAACACCTTCTAGGTATGTATATTGGAGGAGTGCCAGTAATTGGTGCCAGGATGATATGTCGGATTGGTGCCTCGAGCACCAGAACAAATGCCTATCATGCTGATAATTCTCAGATCAGTGCGGACAAGATCGCTGTTCTCCAGAATCTTCGGTCGTTCTGTCGCGCCAGCGCCGCACCTACTGTGAGGCCGCCTTGCCACCATTGTCCTTAGCCTTGCCTGTGCAGGAACGGTATATGGGCCCGGGAGTGTTCAGTGTTTTGGATTTAGGTAGCGGAAAGGAAGCGGTACGCTACCCATCAATGATGTGAGTGTCCAATCATGTCCCATCAGCGTTTCTGAAATACCAGGGACATAGCAAACAACAAGTTGTGCGCAGTTTCACTATGTTTGAACACGCATCGACATCGATCATGTTCAATCTTCTCAACATCACAAGCTTTGCGACAAGCTTTGTGTCAAGGAGACTGGATTTGAATAAGTTATACGGTTTCTCATCCTCCCCTCCAATCTGCGATCTGTGTGATCATGGCAGCTCTTGTTCAACCAGAACTGTTTGGAGGGCCAGATGGACCTGCTTTCCGACGAACTGCGCAGATCACTGCTGTTCCACTGGGAGCGCTTCGCCCGCTTCGCCAGTCTCTTCGTGGAAACGAACGGTGAAGCCCGTTCGGCCCCGAGTCGATCGGCCACTGCGCCGGGACATGCTCCGCTGCCACTCTCTTCCACGGCTTTGAGATCAGACATAGATGATTGGGATACTAGGAGCAAGGACGCTTCTAGGGGCTCCTGGCCTTACTACTAGGAGCAAGAAACTACTAGGAGCAAAGGGCATCGCTACTAGGAACAAGAAGCTACTAGGGACACTATCCACTAATCAGTCCGTCAGTTCCTATAGTATCCTCAGTATGTTTGTCGAGCGCACGCAGCGCAAATGACATGGAACGGCACCTCGCGGTGGTTTGACCAAGCGCGTTATCGGTTCACACACCAAGGGAGCCCCAAAGCGAAGTCAACCGTCTCACCGTCTGTGGAACTTCTGGGTTGGCATAACTTCTGGGTGTTGGGAGAACTTCTGGCTTGGGAGAGCTTCTCATTGTATCCTGGACATCCACCATGTCAAAAAGAAAGCTCTAGAGACAAAGTATAAAGTCTTTGGACCCCTGTCCATCAGATTTCGAAGTTCCATAGGATTCCATACCCAGTAGACCAAGTAGACCGGAATCTCAAACGTGCACAAAGCATGACCTGAAGTGATGCGCGTTTCAGAATCAGAAAGTGTGTCTGAATGATTGATTTGGTGCATGCAGAAAGTTTGCCAATTCAGAAGCGAACACGTATCACTTTGGCAAAGTTTGGAAGCAAATCCTTCGATGAAAGGGCCCCAGCGGGTCAAGCTGGTGCAGAGAACAACCAGGCATGACCAGTGCTTGAAGCTTCAGCCTGCGAGAACAATCAGCTGATGCCACCATGAAGTCCCCGGGATTGGAACGAGGAATCTTTAAACTTAAGTCTAATAGCTTCTTGTTACTACTAGTAAGGCACCTGTTACTACTAGTTTCTACTAGCTTCTTGTTAAGATAGCACATGGATCTGAAAGAAGCTGGTCGTTTCGATGCACATCACCCGCAGGATCGTGAGGACCTATCAGAAGCTGCTAGAGCCAGGAAGGGCAAGAACAGCACTCAGTGTATCTTTGTCTCAAAGGTGTTAGGAATCTGAACCAAAGTCACCAAGCTGCGGAGAATGCCGGAGAGTCCCAGAAAAGACCTTGCTTTGATTAGTTCCAAGAGTGCTTTTGCACAGAAAGTGCAAGTAAAGGGCACACGTGGGATACAGTATACTGGTGCAACACACACACACACACACCGCCCTTAGCGCAAAAAGTGCATGAAATACCAAAGGTGATGCAGAAGGAGTTGACGTCTCAGCAGGGGACTATCATTTGTCCATGCACACACAGAAACTCACACGTACACGCACACACACACACACACCACACCACACACACACACATTACAGGTATTCCAGCAAGTCGAAGAAAATCATGAAACCAGTGAGCTCTTGCGAGAAGTCGGCATGAACGACTTGTGGGACGCTGACAAAATATCCCGAGAGGTCCCTCCAAAATGGATCAACTGAGACTCTTCAGACCCCTTCCATTTGAGACTTCCACTGCCGGGTGACTCCTCGGCACGGCGAGGAGGATCTCCCCGACCGCACCTCGCGGAACACTGGCCCCAGTCGGGCCCGAAGTGCTAGGGAGGTGAGTTGACCTGACACCCTGGGTGCTCCAAGCACATCCGAAGAGAAGGTGGTTGGGTTGGGTGCCACGGGGGGACTGTCTTCTATAGTGTAATTGCGCGGTTGGAGCCCTAGGGACAGGGAGTGTGTGACCAATCGTTGTTGCCAGCTTTTCAGCTCCGTACGTTGTGTCTTGCTGGGGTCGGTTGCCCAGAACAGTTCTGTGGATTTGAGCTAGGAGTTCTGAGCATTATATATATAATTGTATATTAACAAGGTGTTTATATATATATATAGATATCATATTAAGTGGTGCAACAAACCCTGGTGGATCAAGAATATGACAGTACTGTTGCACCTTGTCAGTCTTTGAGATGCTTTAGCAACTACGAGGCTTCAAAGATCTTCCTTCGCTGTGCCGAACCCAGGGCGCCCTAGCCGGTCACCAGTCGTCTTCTCGCTGTTTCGCCGACCTGAACGGATTAATCAGTCAGTTGGCATCAATGAATTTCCAAACGTAAAGACACACCTCCGGTCACAAGCCAACGACTCTCTGCAGGCAATGTGGTAGTGTGCGAAACCACCTTCGACATGGACAAGCTTCTTTGGACTCAATGAGTCTCCTTTCGGAGAAACAAACATCCCCGAACGCATCGTCGCTGCAGGTGTTACGGGACGGAACTCCGAGCTTGATACTTTGCAAAGCTTGCACATCAACGCAGGCGCCCGCCGATCTTTGTGGAGTGTAGCAGCTATGGAACACTCAGAGCTTTCATTAAAGAATACGGGAGAAGTACTTTATAAGTGCAGTCATGTGCAGTCATTGTAACCAAGGGCTGTAATAGGGTGATGGGGCGGTCACCAGCCTTGGATTTGTTCCATGTCACTGCGTCCTTGTCTTGTTTTTCTCGGAGAAACCGGTCATCAGTCGACCTCCGGCGTCGGCGACCGTATGTTGGAGACCCCAACGACTGGGTGTTGCCAGTCCTTTCCCTTTGAACACTGGGGAGAAAACATGATCGTGATTTAATGTTGTTTCTGCTGGCTGATGTGACTCATCAAGAAAACACCATCGTTTGTATATTTGGAGCTGTTTTCAGCTTGAGAATGCTTTCTTGGTTAGTTTCCGTCAAAAAGCGACATAGATCACGGTCACGGGGCAGGTGAATCTAACTCTGCCTGGTTCTCTGGGGGGTTGACCGAGGTTGTCCAGACATGAACAATCCGTGTTTTCTCAATTGGAATGGGCATTGTTCGAGTCTCTAGAGGGGGCACAGCGGCACAGTTGGGGTCGACATTTCAGGTGATGATGGATGTACGCCGCAAACGAAGGGTTCTGGGTTTGGTGGTTTAATAGAGGTCACTGGCAGTTTGAATCTGAAGTGGCAAAATCTCCAGAAGCACTGGGGAGGATTTTTTCCCAACCACACCTATCTCTTCAGGCCAAAGGCCATGTTTGGAAGGCCAGTAAAGCTACAAACCACCGGAGCTGGCCTTTGTTTGAGCCGTGAAAGAGGACCGCAGCTGTGGCCTTTCGCGAAGGAGACCAGTGAAAAGCTGCATGTGGAAGAGAAGGAACACGACAGGTGACGACAGCGCCGACCTTTCCTGGGACATTTGTTGCTCAGAGGTTCGGCCTACAAGACCATTTTTGGAAGGCCTACAACCCCATGACATCTGAAGATGCGTCTTCAGAATCTTCCAAGCCCTAGATACGTCGCAGGTTGCTACTTTTGGGGAAAACTTAAGCGTGAGCACATGCATCTACCAACCAAAGCAGAGCAAAACACGAAGAACTCAGTTCTTTAGTTGTTTATTTGAATGTGGGGCACCTCACCTGGCCCCGCAATTTCAAGGTGGAACGACTGGCTTGTGGAATCAGATGTCATAGCATTTGTTGGATTTCTGTAGCACTCTTCGGCTGCGACCCATGGGGACGCCGCCGAAGCGACCGAGTCGAGGCAGCGAAGGCGGAGGCAGCACACCCGTGAACACACACACTCTCCAAATCGCGTGTTTTTAACGTGACTACAGTAGGGAAATGTTCCTGATCGAATATGACAATAACATCCAGCAACTACCAGTAAAACTTGATGGCCGATCAATGACAACTCCTGCCACGACATGTCCTAGGTCGACCATGAGCTCCAGAATCATCGCTTGCTTTCTACTTCCGGCCCTTGGAAGCGACCTTTCGCCTGGTGGCAGCTGTCGCGTGCGCCGCGCACGGCACGTCCTGCGCACAGCGGAAGGAGATCAGCTGCTGGCGTTGCGGGAAGAGACGGATGCCACGGGGAAGTGGTCTGGAAACAAGGTGCCTCAAAGATGGAGCTGTTTGAAAGAGTTTGTTATACTATGTGTTGGTGTCACCCGAAAATAGACAGACAGTTGAATTTGGACTGGAAATTGTTTCGATCTATTGTGCTAGCTCTAAGTCTACACTGTTCACTGACCAGTAGCTGTAGCAGATGTTTGATGCTTGATGGTTGGAACTGCCTACAGGTCTGGCCGGGAGCGTTGGCTTTGCTGGGACATGTCTACGATGCTCGGTGTCTTTCTGATCATCTGCGAAACGTCTTTGGACATCCGCAGGAGATGGTAATGACTCAAACTTGCTCTACAACCAATCTCCGAGCATGTCATTCTCCAAATCACTTGCTTGGTTTCTTAGTGTGAGTCAGTGTAGGTTTTACCACCCTGAACATCAGATTCTTTTGTAAGGGACGTCAACCTACCATGGTTTGACAATGGTTTGTGCTGGGAAAGGTTTTGACCCACTGAGCTTGATGAGAGGTCGCGACCGCCTGAGCCCTTTGGTTTTAACACCGGCCTGTTGGAGGATCCAGTTAGGTATTGGTAATTGAATAATTAGCAAATAAGAATCATGTAGACTCTTGGTGAATGATCCCCACATTTGGATTGTAAATCTCTTCAGGCCTGGGGGGTTCTTAATCAATAATCAAGAGTTTACATGACTGGCCAGCCACCCTTCCTCTTCGACCAACCTTCCGAGCCAATGGTCCGATGAACGGGCACGACCGCCGTGCGTCAGTAGCGCCACGGTACGCCTCGAGTGCTCAGGAACACTATGAGTTGAAGGGCCTGAAGGTTCTGGAGTTCCTGGGAATTGAAGGAGTTTGCTGGGCTTGGTGTCGGAGTCTCTGCTCGTCGTTGTGGAATGATGCGATGGTTACAGTGGACGCACTTTCCATCACATGGCACAGAGTGCAAGACCATGGACCGGCAGAGACCCAGGTCTTCAGGGATGTTGTGTGTGTCTTTTCCTTCCGCTTTTTCAGGGTGTTTTCTCCAGGAGGTGGCCCTTGGGGCCAAAAACAGCGGCTTTAGACTGGTGATCACCGAAGCTGTTCAACGGAAAATCGCTGCGTTTCGCCCATCCCAGGCTGGGCTGTGGGCTTCCCTTCCTCTCCATGGCACTGGGGAGCCTCGGTGCCGAGGCCGGTCGCGGTTGGAAGAAAGAAAGTGAGGCTACTAGCAACAAGGGCATTACTAGTAGCAAGGACGCTACTAGTAGCAAAGGGCATTACGAGTAGGAACAAGAAGCTACTAGTAACATGGGCATCGCAACTAGTAGCAAGGGCATTGCTACCTAGAAGCTACTAGTAGCGATGCCCTTGTTTTGGTGGGAAGTCTTTGAGCCAGTGTGACTTAGAGAAGATTGCAGCCTTTAGAGAAGCGTGGGTTTGTGGAAAACAGGTTTAGATGTCTATCAGTACCATTCAGTACCCAAAGCAGCACCATGTGTAAGAGATGGTTGACCCTATTGGGCAGAAGTCTACCTGGTATATTTAAATAATGAATGTAGCACAGCATGTTGTCCCTACTGGTAGAGCGTGACCATGTGTTTGACAAGTGGTCCATTTTTCAGCTGGTCCTTTCCAACAAGCTCAGCGACTGAGGGATGAGCATCCGAGCAGTGGGAACTTTTTTGCCTTGCGACAACCCTGTGTGATACCGTGGCGTGGCTCTACATGGATTGAACAGAGTGCGTGAATATACAGATCCACACAATTCCTAATCTCATACAATATACACTCCCTATCCAAGTGACACTTCTACCGTATATCTCAACATTATTTTCATACAGCTCTTCCACCCACTTCCAGCCAAAACCCACATCTCAAGAGCCATCGACCGTGAACATCACGGGCTTCGTCACCTGCCACAGGTGTGTGCTACCGACCATCCGGAGGTCTTGGACCAGGTGCACCTCGGCAGAGGATGGAAGGGACAGCCAGGAGCCTCCAGGTGCTAGGTAGCATTGGATGTTTCTCAGTGCCATCACTAGATGGAGGGCCACTTCCATCTCCCTCCAGGAGGTGTGTGTTTTTTAAATGCCATGTCACGCTATGTCAATGCTCGACAAAAGCTCAACATCTGGAAGCTCAGAATGCAAAAAACGTTTATCATCTTTCATCTTCCTACTAGACGAGGAGAACGGTGGCCACAGATGGCCGCATGGAGGGCCTCTCAGACCGGGCGAAGCGCCATGTCCGCCGCTCGGTGCCAAGCGGTGTTGGGATGATTGAACCCACTGGAACCCACTGGGATGATTGAAACCGCAATCCGCAGTTGCAATTCTTGCAATGTTCTGGCTGTATTATATAATACGGTCAGCACCTGGAACAGCCAAAACTCTTCAAAGAAAGGACATGGGAAGGTTGACCTCCCAAGTTGAAGATTCTGTTCTCCTGGAGGTGTCCCAAACCCTTGGTTTTGACCTGCAGCCAGATATATAGTGCCACTTGTGTATGGACCCACCAAGCCTTGCAAGAGTTTGGTTGTGACAGTCGGATGGAGTGGACATGGATGAGTGGAGGGGGAGTGTCTGGAATGGGTGACTGGAAGTTGATGGCATGGCCCCGAAGAACGGGTGACCATTGTCCCATCTTCCTCCGGCCTCCGACTTCCATGATGATAGAATCGGGGTGTAGGGTTTTGATGTGTTTTTATCAACGTCTCCTTACCCTGATCCCATTTAGAGAAGTATTTGTCATTCTGGCACTTGGGTCACGCAAGCTAGAGCAACATAAGTTGCCCACGTCCAACCTCGAGCGGATCCAGCGACCAAGTGATGGGACGGCTTTTTTTTGGTGGTCGAAGTGGAGTTCGATCTCGGTGAGCCCCTCTAATGTGGATTCATGAATCATCCCGCAAAACCTCTTCGGGCCTCAGGCCTGCGGAGGTTTACTTCCAGAGTCGAGATTCTGGAACTTTCTGAGAACATGTCTAAGTGACGCCACTCATCGAAGCCACCAGTTTCTCTTCAACCCACCAGCGGCCCACCGCCTCCTCGGTCCAAACATCTGAGGCTTTGAGGCGTTCGCCTGGGGTGAAGGCCCCGCGCCCTGTGCGGCACAGCTCGTCCTCGGCGCCGACCTGGCCGGGCGCCCCCGGTCACCGAAGCGACACAGCTCGGCGTTGTCGACGTGCACGTGGTTGGGGTCGAAGAGTCAAGGAGCTGAAAGGAAGCATTTGGTGGAATTCAGCAGCAGCAACAAGTAGAATCTTGATGAATACAACAATATAAAAAATGATTGAAAAACACCCTTTCATTTTGGATTGAAACACTTCTTCAGGCCTGAGGTGTTGTTTATCAAGCGTCTTTCTACGGTCCATGTCACTACATATTCTTTGAGGCTTTCTCGTGAAAGCATGGGGCCGTCCTGGAGAGATCGAAGGTGATTCTGCCAATGCAACGTTTTGCGATCACGCATGTCTTACCCAGGTCTATGATGGCTTTCCTGTGGACGCCTTGTTCGAGACCTGCCTTGTTAGCCAAGCGGAGGGTGGTCTCTTTCGGGTCTGGAGTGTGAACACATCCCCAGTGGTCTCGATTTGGACAGGTAGCCAGTAGAACCTGCATGATGGAATCCCTAATTGCTTTTTTGATCTTTTTGTTGACCGCTGATTCATAACCCCCCCACCTGGAGATGTAGAAACTTGTAAAACCATGCTGGTAGGTCGAATTATGTCCAATTTGTGTTCCTCAACCCAATCAACCTTCAACATTTGGTGGCCCCACCCGTTTTGGAGTCCAAGGAGAGCACCACCCAGCTGCTGAACCACAGCGGAGATGGTCGAGCTCGTGCCCTCGCAGCGGTCTTCGCGCTGCAACCACGGCAGTTCCCGATGACCGCTGCATTGCAGCGTGACAAAGAAATCACCAGCGTGTCAGGTGAACACAGTGGAAGAAATCGCACTTTGATGCATTATACCAGGTCTATTGGACACCCATTGGATGACCCAGGTAACCTTGCATTCTTGAGTTTTGCATCACGATGGGTTTCGTGCTTGTTGAGCATGAACACGAACACCTCATGTCATGTATGGAATCTTTACCTACTATGGACGATGAAACCCCCATTCAACAGGCCCCAACTGGTCGGTCATTTGCCAGTCCCAGATAGGTTGGTGTTTGGGTCATACATCGACCGATCTTCCAACGGCTGGTGTCGACGCAACACATTCGCTCACTAGACAAATCCATGGAATCTATGGCATATTTTGGCTATTAGAATGATCCTTAAATTGCTAAAACATCTCTTCGCAACCATCCAGGGGTTGATCCATTTCAGACATCTTAAAACATGTTGACCATTGTCTCTTAGAACCACCCATCCATGGGGCGGCCAATCATGGTGGGCTTCTGGAGCTCCCCACCCGATGACATTGAGTGGATGTGATTTGATCCGTTTGACGGGTGACAACAGATGTTCTCTACTGGACCTTGACCAGACAAGCACACGTCAATCTTGCTTCATTTGGGACAGTTGAACGTTTTCTAGTGACCATGTTGATCATGTTGGCCAAATGTATTTATAAAAGAACAACGAGAAGATCCATATCTTGACAACATCATGGCCCCTTGGACTGTTTGCCGAACTTCGACTAGAAAAAAACCGTTCCCCCCGCAGTCATCCGACCGTTTTGGGCGACTGGACCCAAGGACTAGGACTGCAATTTTCAGAACTTGGGACATTGTTTCACCACTGATCAACTCATCAGGTGCTTTGTTTTCTTGGCAAAAGGTCAACGATCAGGAAAAATCATGGACAGGCCGCTTTGGGTGCTTCGCCACCATTTGGATCTTCAATGAGTCAATGAGTGTTTTGGATCGTTTCAGCTGGAGGTCGACAAGTTGACAGAAGTTGCATCATCAGCTTCCAAGAATCCTCCCTTCACCTGTTGTGCACATTCTCTTCAACCGTCTGTCATCCTAAGACATGATCTCGACCTTGAGGTCGAGGCCTCATCCAGTGCCTCATCCCAACGTCCAGTCCCTCCAAGCCTCCAACCGCTTCTTTGGGATCCCAGGCGCGAGCCACAGCTGATCGCTGGTTTCTTGCGGCGCTTCGCACAGCTTGGCTTCCAGGTGGCCGTGACCCCCGTCACAGACGAGGCGATGCACTTCGTCGGGCGCCCGATTTCGCTCTCGGTGTCACAAGAGTTGTGCCACTGAACGGAAGCAAAGAGGAGCAAGCAGTCACAGATCTGCCACAGATTTTCTTTTAGTAGACGACGTAGACGACGATAGACTTCCAGTCTGATGCAACATCAACCAAGATGCATGTATTTGTCTCGTACATCTAGAAGGAGATCATCCGTCCCGCATCCATATATCATATGGATCTCTCCTTCCGTTGATATTTGCTACAGCTCCCCGGTGCTGTTGCCTTCTCGGCTTATCTCTGCCAAAGCCAGGCCTTGGGCGTGGCTGAGCAACCGGAGACCTGCGGTGGTGCTCGGAGTAGCCAAGGCGGGAGAAGCGACTTGCGAAACCAGGTGAAACCACAAGACCTAATCCGCCCAATCCGCCGGTAGGTGAACCTTCCAGGTAAGTCAACCATGACCCACAGCATCCCACAACCATATTTCAAGAAATTTGCCTGTATGGACCCCCCTTTCCACGCACACTTTTGATGTACAATCTGCCAGTCCCAGAGTCCACAGAGCCTGTGGCTGCAGGCTGTAGCGGCTGTGGTGATCATCCATCATGGTCGTCAAAAGTGGCATGGTGTGATGGGTCGTATGTCGGCTCTTTGAGGGAGGTTTCCAGAAAAACAATGAAGGTCAAAGACTTTAGGTTTTTACTTTGTGTGTTTTTGCAGTATTGTATATATATATATGTATTGTAATCACTGATGTCGTTCGCAATCTTGACTCCGGCGTGGTTACCCAGTTATAACTAGGCTCCTTTGATTACATATTTCCGGGTCACTGAGAAGTCGAGCTCGACCCCCATTCCCCAGCTGACAAACCCGGAGAAATCTGCTTCTGCCTGTGAACCCCCATCCCCAAGAGGTAAATCAACCCATTCACCAATTCACCGATCCCCGTGACTTCTTCCATCCAGAGGATCAGACCTTCAGGGTCTGAAAAGAAACTCAGCTCCAGGCTCCAGGCGGTCTTTTCACCTTCTTCTTCTCCTCCTCCTCCTCCTTCTCCTCCTCCTTCTTCTTGGGGCACTTTGAAATCCTTGGAATTCAATTGCTTCATTAGGCTCCTAGCACGTACTGGCCGCATGAAGTGTACGAATTGGGACCCCTTTCAGACCTCGCAGGCCTCGTCCTCGCCACCATCAGCTCCGCCGATGCTTTGCCGCTGCCGGCGCCGAGCTCGGCGGTACGGGCGTCTCTGCGGTACGAGCGGGAGGAGCTGGTGTGAGCACCGAGAAGGAGTGGAAGAGGCGATGCCGCTACATGGATCGTGGACCTGTCTCAAACCACCCTGACTCAGTGACTCAGCGACGTGGGTCATGTCTTCGTCTCTTCATGGGACGTGCTTTTGGAAACGGAAGGCCGATGTTCTTCACAGCTCACCTTCTTCGCCGCGATGCGGCGATGCGGTGCATAACCGCGGTACGGCGCACCAGTCCGTGTTGAGGTGAGCTATTGCAGACTGGACTGGACATGCTTCGGGGGTCGCTGGCGGGTGCTGGTGGGTGGATGTTTGATCTGAATCTGAGGTCGTATTCCTCTATCAGCCCTGCCAATGTCAGCTGTTGCAGGGTTTCTTCATATTCCACAGACAAGTTGTGAGGAGCTCTGCAGCGAGACCTTTGCCAAGCACAACTGCAGATGTTCGGAGTGAAGGGGGCAAATGTTTCCGTATTGACTCAAGCTTGTACCAACTACTCACCCGGGTGTGTTTAGAACGAGGAAAAGGGTCCTTCAACGAGTGCACAGAGCCTCTACTTCTTCACAACATGCCTCACATCGCTGCAGACGTTGGAACGACCAGTCAGCGACCACGGCGACCGGTGCGGTCTTTCTGTTGAACCTCACAGCGACCAGAGCGTCCCCGTCTTCCAGCCAGTGAATGCCTTGAAAAAGGATGCATGTAGGTGATGGCTGTTGCGCGCTGACGACTTGGTCTTCCACGAAGTACAACTCGAACTACACAGACACCTTATTGTATGATATTAGATATGAGATCATATTTATGCAACAATAAATATCTAAAACACATATGTCAGAAAATGTCAGAAGCATGCGTGTTCAGAATCAGATCACTGAATCACTGGGATGAAACCACAAAGCACTCGACTTCCATGGCTTCACCACGAAGCGACCGACGCTCCAAGCGAGACCGTCGTTGCCGCCAAGACGAAGTGAGCACGGTGAGGGCCCATAAGTGAGATGGAGCCTGCGAGATTGAAACACCATGCTTTAACACACAGTTTCCCACGTCTTTGAAACACAAGAAAGTCAAAAAGGCCTTGGACAATGTTGGACATTTTGTTGTTGTTGGACATCTGGTCACCAGCTGCGACCTTGAAGTCTGCATTTCAGCCTCCATTTCGGGGACCAGAGTCGGGTGTGGTTTCCTTCACACAGTACATTGGGTGGTTGAAAAGTTTTATTTTGTTGGTCAATCTTTCAGTCCCCTGGAGTGTTTGGGCAAGATTCCACCCCCGCATGATGTGTCGCATTTGGAGAGTCAGGTGCTACAGTATGTCAAACTCCACAGACCTCAAGCATGGCATAAATGGCCTTTTGCTATTGGTTACAGTAGTGGATATAGGGGAGAACCCGGGTCGTGTACAACCAATAGGTATATGGTTCCAAATGGACCCCTTTGTTATTCCCAAGGTCAGACATCATTGACCTCAAGAGTTGTCACTAGGCTAGCCTCACTGGTCACTTCTACTTCGGTTGGCGCCTCTTATTGCAAGTAAAGCAAGGCATCGCAGTCCAAGGCATTGCTTCAAGGACCCAGGAGCTCCATCTGACTCGATGTGTTCAAAACAGATCCTACTTGGAGGTCTATGGACCGGGACCCTATTTGAAGGGAATCCAGGACCTGACTCGAAGCGGGATGTGGGTCAAAACCCGGAGCGGTAAACCCTTGTAGGTTGACCTGCTTGTATATTCTATTCTGCTTGCTTTCCGGTTTGAAAAAACCAAGGGTCCTCCGGTTTGGACCCACAGTCACCTGGAGGTGCTGGTTGGAGGCATGTCCCTTTTTGTTCTCGGTCACTGCACCAAGCAGCTGACTTTTCACATCGCCATTCGCTGCGCCGAGCCGCTGCGCCAGGCTCGTTGATGGGCCGGCTCTTGCTGAGTTACAGCCAACAGGCGGCCGTCGGGTGGGCCGGAGGCTTGGAGGTATTCCCCCTGGTGGCAGAATGGTGCAGCACTTTGGAGATTTGCATTTTGGCAAAAAACTGGGACTGAGAGACTGAGGGAGGGCTGAAAAGAAAGGGGTAATGATTTATGATGGTTGCAACCATTTAACGAGCTGGACGCTTTAGATCGCTGTGAACAAGCCCTATAAATCATTATAATTCCTACCTTAAAACCACCCACCCTCCCACTTTCTCAGCTGCGGCCGCCGCCTCAGAATTTTCTGAGCAGGCAATTTTCGCTGATTTTTCGCTGGTTTGCGTGACTCTTCAACTCTTGTTGTCCTGGACATCTCTTTGCTGGCAACTTCCCAGCTCAACAAACAGTGGGGTAAGGTTGTTGGTAACGCTACAAGCAGTGTATCACTGGATCACAAATTACGACAGGACGGAGCAGTGACAACTCACCAGCAGCCCGTGCCTCTGCAAGATCGATGTATGATGCCTTACTACCTCCCAAAGGTTTTGAGATCGTATACTGCAGGCACTACTGTATAGTTTACTGCAGGCTCCAGCCCCAAAAGTCACGAGCGTTTGTAGAGAACGGAGAACGGCTGTGGAGAGGGCGCCACACTTTGGACTTCTCCAAGGATTCCCGTGTTCCGGAAAAGCATGAGTAAACTAAGTAGCGCACGTCATTTTAGGGTGTAAGGTCGTCATCTCTGACAGCCAGGCTGTGGCAGCTCATGGCCTCATGGCAACTCAAGTCACACATCAACATACATCATCACCAGCAGCGCAGGACTCATGACCAAATGACCGTACTTTGCTACAATATCTATTTATTCTATATTCACAATATAGGGCAAGCTGCCTTCAACAATTGAAACAGTGCCTGCCACATATATATATATATTTATAACCATATATATATATTATACTGTATGATAGCTCCTTTTTGATTGCTTCGTCCCGTTCATTTTCGCCTCTTTCTTCCATCATATCTTCAAACAAGAAGCATCAATCCCTACTGATGTTGAATTGTATATCTTGAACTTATGTTGTTTGGTTTCACGATCACAAATCTCAATTGAACATCAGTTTGAATACTGTAGTTAAAGCTTGCAAGTTCAGTGATTGACCTTGAATTAAATCGACGGTCAATATTTGAGAACTGATAAAGTATAATGGTCGGATATGTAGATGCCACTATTCAATTATTTTGTCAACGATTAACAGCTATATATAACTTAACAGCTGAAATAGCTTCAAGAAAGACCACATTTGTTGCAATACGTGAGCATTGATAATGCGTATCATGATGTTACATAATACACATTTGTCAGTATTTGGAAATAGTTCAACAAGAATATCTTCAACTGAAATATGTTTCAATATAATTGACCCATATTATTTCTCCATATTCCACAGTGTTTTCCACGACAACTGGATATGGACGCCCCAACATTTTGAAGACCTTAAGTCGAACATCTCCGTCTTGGTCCCTCGTAGGTGACGAAACGGCCTCGGCGGTTGATGTTCTTCTACGCCCTTGTGGTGGCAGATTCTTGGGCGTCAAGTGATGGGTGGGTGCACTGGTGGCTTCGACCGAAACATCCAGACACGAACCGGCGGGTTTTGGGGTGAAAGATGCTTCTTGACAGGAACCTCTGAGACTAAGCGCTCCCATGATCAAAGATGCCGGTCCCATGGGTGTTTGGAAGCACTCGATGATCGGATCTTCTTACCAACATTTCTCTGGCCAAAACATATACATGATAGCCTGCTAGGTTTGGTGGGAAGGGGAGTTTTTTGTTGTAGTTGTTTGTTTTGGGAGGGTCAAGCACGGGAAAACCTCAAGTCTGTGGTCCAAATATGTCCAAGTCTTCAACCACCCGGGATGTTCATGCCGAAAAACTCTTTCATGGATGCCCAACCGATTTGATGGATCGACCTAAGACTGGTCGACCTGGGGCCTTTTTGCAGCATATTGGAAAGTAATTGGAGCCTCCCACCTGGCACACTGACCAAATCCTTTGGCAATGCCGATCCCTAGGGTTGGACACGTAAGGTGCCACATCCAACGCCTTCTTCTCGCGAGGTCGTCACTGCAAACCTCCCGCGACCAAAGCCTCAAGGTTGACCAGGTGAATGAAAGGGGTTGTCAGAAAGTACTTGAACTATGGTTCTAGAAACTACTAGTTCTATTCCTTTTTTAGATGCGCAAGCATCGGTTTCCACTACCCACTGACTCCCAAACCTGGCAACACCCACCAGCTGAATCAGTCCCTACCATCTCCCCATCCTTCCCAGGTGCCAGTGATTGTCGGCATCATCTTCCGGGGCTTTGATTTGGAAACCAACTTCAACGCCATTTGGCTGAGTTCTTCCGGAGTATGGCTGAGGGCTCCATGGAGCAGTTTTGCAAAATCAGAGAAAGGCAGCCCTGCAACCCGAGGAGAGTGAGGGCTGCAAAGATACTAGGTACTGTACAAATCTGTAAATTATATTTGAAGAATTCTTGAAGGGTTGCCAATGCGCTTGGACTTGGCTCATCAACATCTTAGTCCCAATGTCGGCTGGCACAGGAGATTGCTCGGAATCTGCCACCATTCGCGCGGTTTGGGGCCAGGGTGACGCCGGGCCTGCTGGCCACACCAGACATGACCTTCCCTGGGGCTCCAACCACATCCTCAGAAGGTGGTTCGGTGTGTTTGGGGAGTGGAGCCCCAACGTTTGTGACAAGCGCACGGTCGGCATTTCTCTGGCGCCACCTTGGACGAAGGAAGCACGACCGTGAAGGAAGCACGCGTGAGCCACCGCTCCCAAAGAGCGCAACGGCGGCAGCCAAGGCTATAGCGTTTCTTACGCAATACCCAGCTGACGCACGCTAACAGGCAGGCAGCGAAGCGCCGCTTTTGGTCGAAGTTGCCGCAGCTCAACGTTCTTCCTCCAGACATGGGCGAGGTCACGCCATGTAGGAGTTTCCAATTTGCCTTCTGTGGCCCCGCCGATGGACTTCTTATGGGGGCTTGTTGTGTTTTGGGCTGTCGTGCTCACCTTCGTCTCTGTGGCTGGTGTGGCCTCTTCGGGAATCATCGCATGTTGTTTTGCGATCCGTTTTTGACCAAGGTCACTTCAAGGTTCCGAAAAATCGCACCTGACCGAGAGCAGCGCAGCAGAGGCCTTAGGGCCAAAAAGCATTTCACGGCAGTGCAGTGCCGTCAAAGTGCTGTTGGAAGCGAAGACGTTCAGCTGGAGCAGGTGGTTGCTCCCTCACAGCATTGGAGCAGCTCGTGAGGGCATTGGATGTTGATCAGACAGTGAGTCAGCAAACCGAGGTGATTGTCCCCTTCGCTGCATTGATGTGCGCCGATCGCAGGTCCAAGCTTGTTCATGCAGGACCTACTCAGGAATTGCTAAGACGCGTGGGCTATAATACTAAAGCATACTAAGACTGAGAGAAGCTCAAAATGTTTCTTAGCCAGGATCAAATTACAGCACAGGACAGAGGACCCCACAAGACCTATGCATACCGCCTATATATATGCTATACACAGGCTATGTTCACGCTTCAATATTGGCCGAGTGTTCTGTCAACATGCAAAGTCCAACCGGGCTTGCTGCATTTGCAATAACCATGTTACTTGCTTGAGCATGTATTAACAGCAAGCGCCACACACACATGCACATGATCATCGAGTCACGGATCAATCCGATTTTGCTTGGGACACATGTTCCAACCAGTCAACCCCGTCATATCCATCTGCCTAGGCCTTCATCAAAGCGGATGGTGCTGCCATGCGAGATCGCGAGGCATGACCGGCACCGGTAAAACCGCATGGAACAATAAATCAGAATCGAATCACACCCATGATCAGACCAACATGGAACCCCACCGGATCAGTAAGGAATTGGGATTTCCAATGATTTCCAGCTGTCTAGTTTCAGTTTTCAACAAGTTCTTGGGCGAATGAATTGAATACCGGTGGCACAGTCCGATTACTGTAGGGAGTCTGGTGAACCAGACAGTGTGGAGGAGCCGGAGACCTGCCCGTGACGTTGACCCCCTTGAAGATGTCGGATGTCGCTTCTGATGTCGCACGTCCCATTGTGGCCTGTGGCCTAAAGGCTGAATGGTATGGGCCGCAACTTACTACAGGGCCAGCGTTTTCTCAAATCTGTACGGTGTCCATTCCTTTTCATCTTCATCTTCCAACCAAATCTCCCTCGGCTTCCCTCCGGCTCAGAACTTCAGCCAGAGCTAGGCTCTCTGAAGTTCCAAACGCGACGGCCGCCACATCCAACGACCTCAACAGCATTCAACAGCCATCTTCAGCCCCACCTCCGTCCAACGACCCACGACCTCCGCCCGCGGGAGGCCTTTGAGTTGGCCCTCTCCGAGAAGAAGGATCTCAGTGCCTCACGGCGCCTCGAGGCGCCAACTGCGCGCGCGAGGAGGACGTGCCCGGGCGATGCGAGAGCGAGGAGCGTCATGTGTGTGTGGGAGAAGATGGGCGGCCGCGAGGGCGTGGTGGAGTGGTGGAGGTTTGGGTTATGATTATTTTTATGATGATGATGAATGGTGATGTTTCTTTCACCCGGATACTTTTTATATCTTGTAACTTTTGGGGTGATGATCATGTTACAGTAGATCGAAGCAAAAGGACACATGAAAAGAAGACCTATATATAGGACATGGATCAGAATCTAGTCGGTCTTTTCGAACAATTATAAGCATATACTCTGTCGAACCTTATAGAACATGAATGGCTCCAGGAATCACTTCACGCCAAAAACACCCTCCGACCAAAGGCATAACATGGACGTGGTGGCCAGAAACGCCCGGTTGCCAGAATCCAAGCAGGTCCGGGTCGGCCGCCCCACCGGCGACCCGGTCGCCAGGCGGAAAGCTTACGGCTCTGGGAGGCGTGAGACCGAATGAGAACGGAGTGGGTTCGGAGGTGGAGGTGGCCAGCCGCCGGATCCATGCAGGGGATCTGTGTGGGATCAGGTGGAAGCAGCGAAGTGCTGAGCATTGATGATTCTCTCCAAGCACGAATGGCAACCTGGGTTGGGGTTGCCCTTTCAGGAGAACTTGTTGCATATCCTCCCACTTTCCCCGGCCTGAAATGGCTCTCAGAGGGTGCTTCCCAGAATCCCTGCCCATCGGCAGGTCAATGGAGATTGGGTGGAAGCAGAGGCTGATGAGGTCTTTTTTTCAGGGCGGGTGAGTGAGGAGGGCGGATGAGTGAGCAGAGAAAACCGGAGGATGTGGGAGGTCTTTTTCAGAGTCTATCAAAATAACAGGATTTGGCTCCAAGCCAACAAGCCCAACCATGTGTTTCTTTGATTTCATCCTGGATCACGACCATTCAGCTCCAAAATAATGACGACAGAAACCATATTAGCACTGCAATAATTCGCTGTCTTGGGTGCTGCAGGATTGCTTCCTTCATGACCAAAGTCTCCCGTTGTGGGAGGCTTTTCTTCCTGATCAGCCTGATTCTCGATCACTTCCAATCATTTCTTCCCTCCTGACCTCTTCGAATCCTCGTTCTTCAGCGCTTTTGACGGGCACTTCTTTGACTCGTCCAACGGACTGCTCTCACACGTTCTCGGTTGAAACCACAAGAGACGGCACGTTCGAACCACCGGACCGACCAAATCCACTCCATGCCACAAAGGACGTCCCTGGGAATCCCGTTGGAAGCATTGGGGCGCCGTTTGCGCGCGTTTTGCCATCTTCTTTGCGCCCCGCCGCGGCAAATCCCCTCGAACAGATGACCAACCCGATCTCCAAGGAGTCCAGACTGATTTGACCCTCCAACTTCGCTCTGAAACCTTCGCTCGGACACCAGGACGGCAGGCGCTTAGAGCCAGAGCCGGTACACCCGACCTGAGTTGCGACGACCGCGGGGGTTGTGACCGAATCCTCCAGTCAAGTCTTTCGCTTTCGATGTCGTTCTTTTTGAGTTTCTCTCCTAAATGAGGAATGCGGAATGCAATTTGTGAAGCATGGGTGCTTCTTCGCCAGAAGAGAGTTGAGTTTGGTACGGTCTGGTTTTCTGCCCAAGCTCGTGCGAGGGGTCTAAGAGCTCATAGAAAGGACCGTGTCAAGACGTTCGTCAGTGAACTTCAAGGCCTCCCGGGATTGGTTGGCTGTGAGTGAGTGACTGAGTCAAAACATGGGTCTGTACTTTTTTCTACGTGTGTAGGTGGGGTTTGGGATGTTCGACTTACTCTCGACAAGGCGTACCTCCGAAACATACCCCATCGTCAAACAAAACAAAGCCCAGGGGACGTTAAAATAATACACGTCCACAATCGTCCACATGTCAAAACCCAACGGCCCATAAATCCTAATTGATAGAATCATATCGCTCAGGACTCAGTATTTTGATGTATTTTGTTCACATTCAAGCTTTTGGAGGCCTCAACTATAACTAATCTATGACTGCCATTGACACCAACAGACTTGCATGAGTTCGACAACTTGGAAGGCCCCATCGGTCACAGATCTAGACTGTTATACCTTATGCTCCTCTGATAGAGCTTGGCGTCCAAGGCCTGGAGCGGCATGGACGACCCAAAACAGATCCATTTATAAGGATAACCGTTAGGAGGGGTTTGGGTATGGTGAAAGCATGACACGAAACGTAGGAGGTTGGACTCCATTTGCGAACTCTGAGAGTAGGACTTGTGCTTGAGCTGATGAAGCTGGCTGGAAGGGCGTGAATGCAGTTCCTGAGATGTCTTGATATTTGTGCTTGGTCGTTCTTCAGCTTTCTGAGAAGCTTGGATACATGAAATTGCTCCAAAACAGAGACTTTAGACCACAACATCCCACAATGGTTTCTTTTCTGTTGATCCGTAAGCCCTTGCCCTTACTGCACGCAGAAGCTCAGAACATCTCAGACATGTCTTTTTTTCGCATTGACACGTGGGCCGATGGCCAGGAGAATTGGACGTCAGCCCCAGGCAGGATGTGCTGGTGCCGGGCGGCAAAGCTTTACTCTTCGTGGCAGCTGGTTTTCTTTGAGCTCATGAACCGCTGTTTTGATGGTCTAGCACTGCTGGGGTGCTTTTCAGGTGATGCAGACAACAACTTTTTGCGTTGTTTGCATAATATGTTGTTGCTCATCCTCACCCTGTGACAACTGAAGTTGGGCCCAACTTCATCAGTGCCTCCCATCCCCGAATCCAGGACCTTGTCTTACCTCGAGATCCACTTACTCTTCACCGGCCATGCCATGTTTCTTATTAAGGGCGAAAGACTTGTGATTGTTTGGAAGGACTGACACGATGAAGGACGGAGCAAACCGATGTTGTGTTAGCCCAAGAGATCATTGGGTTGCTGCAGTCCGCAAGTAGAGTCAGGCATTTGATAGTATAAACCGTTGAGACAAGTATCTATTTGTTTGCACCTTGCCCACCTGACCTGTGTGGTGTCAACATGTGTCAACCATTTTCAGTTTGCAAGATCATGGTGCCTTTGTTGCTGTATTATCATAGTTGCATAACTAGCGCTTCTTTGCTGCTGCTTGGCTGGGAAGGCCGGCGCTTGAAGACACTTTTCCTCAGAAAGGACATCGTGACAAAGAGCGAATTTGGGATCTGGTTGGTTTTGCGTTGTACTCTTGCTTGCTTCACAACTTCTATAGTTTGCGTTTGGGATGGGTTTCGTTCGAATCTTTGTGAGTCCTTCTTAAACCGATCCTGTCATCAGGTTAACCTGACTTGCTGTTGTGATCAGAGACTGAAAGCTGTCAGAAGTGCTCGAACGATACAAACTCCACTGCCAGGTTCCTTGGATTCGGAGGTTAACATGGATTTGATGATGAAGTGGGGTGAACACTTGCATTTCCAGCATCAGCCCATAGTCCAATCGTAGAAGGCCAGCTGGTAGACTACTTCATATTACATTGAGCGGTACATGGATATACAGGCACATCATGGCACATCAAGGGAGGATGAGGCGCACCAGGAGATTTGGTGCAACAGAGGATGCAGATCACTTGGATTCGCAACAGTCGTGCGGCTTTCGTGCCGCAACCGCAACGGATGTAGCCCATCGATGGACCGTTGGGACATCGCTCCAGACAACGATGGACCGGTCTTCCTGGACCGGTCACGAGTGGGTCAATAGAAGTTCGGTCACTGGGAAGGTCCGACTGTGGATGGGACTCCAATTTGTATCGTTTTTTATTGACTGTTTGAAGAGTAACTGGGGTGACATCCCACTCCATGCCCACTGGCTCGTTACTTGTTGCCTTCCTATTTGGCTCGTTTGCTTGTATGCTTGAGTTCGGCCGGTGGCAGGATTTGCAGCTGCTTTACCGCGCCAAGAACGGGAACATCATGGACGAGAAAGCTTTGCAGGAGGGGTGTTTGCAGCGTGTGGCCTGTTTGTTTCGTGTGGCAATCATGGAAGTCTCCTCCAGAGTCAGTGGGCCCCTGGAGTCCATCAGTGAATCATCTGAGTTTTTTCGGCTCTGAACACGCGCAAGGCATTTCAGTGGGCATAGGATGAGTGTAGAAGGTGTAAGGTGTAAGGCATCAATGGCATAGATGTGGGACTGAGGTCCTCCCCACCAGACCCATGTCTCTTGTGGTTTCCATGAGAGGACCGGAATCCCACCATGGTGTCAAGTGATCAGAGGTTCTATTTTGGAGCTACTGTATGAACTCGAATCCTTGAGTATATATATATAGTTACTTTGGCAGAAATTGCCATCCATTTGATGTTGGCTAAACAAATGCTTCAGCCATGCGTGAAGACGAGATCACATGGATCCAGGACATTCAGCAAATCGAGGAGGGCCTGCGCAATTTGCCACGTCGGGGGGCATGAGAGACGGCTAACCATGTCACGCCCAACTGGTAGAGGACAATGGTTTGGGTGGAGCATGCTGGAAACTGTGACAACACGGATGTCCAATCTGTGTCCAGTGACCAAACACATGTGGGCACACGTGTTTTTTGTTCAATCCATGTTTCTGGCTTGACTTTTTAACGGAAGTCTTCAAGTGGCGCAGAGTGATATGAAACAATAATCGGAGGCATCGGCGTTTGGGCTGAAGAGTCCCAGACCATCCATGTCTTACATACATTTAACCCATTTATGACCCAAATGTATTTTCCATACATGGATGGTCTGGGAGCGCAAACTCCGACCGATGGCGAGTTCACTCGACTGACGAATGGTGCCGGCGAAATCTGCGCGACCAGCGCGACCATTACTCGATCAGATCGAGTCATGGCCCTTGCGTGGATGGGACGGGCATGGTGGATCGCTACGGGCATGGTGGCACGTCGCAGTTGGACTATATGTGTTTCAGTTTAAGGGTGCTTTGTTTGATTCCCTGACGTTCCCTGTGGGTCAATCCCCGTACCTCGGGAATGTTTTTTTTCTGGTTCCTCAAGCAAATCCAAGATTGGATATATATATATATATAATAATGATAATATTATGTGTTCTTTGGGGGCAAAACCCTAGGGCAACCGCCTCTAAAGTCCAGAGTGGGGTGCCAAGGAAAGGATGATGTGAAGCTGATTTTTGGCAAACATCCTCCAATCCTTCTGGATCCTTGGAGTATGCGCCGTGCCGTGTCACTTTCCGCTTTGGCCACCTTCCCAGGTTGGCAAGATTCCTGCCTCAACAAGATCACCGGGGTGGCTTTGGCAGAACAGACTGGAGACCGGGAGAGGGGATACCCACCTGACTGAGCTAAGGACATGAAAGATCTTTCCCATGGCCCAGGAGGCATTTTGTTCCTCTAAAGACATTTCAGACTTTGCCGAAATATCACGGGTTGATTGGGAAGGGAACATCTTTGATTGATGACTACAATAGTCTTTGTGTTGTTCTTGAAACTGGTGGTGCACTGCTCTACCTGCTCATCTCCATCGGAGAATGGGTGGAAACATGAGAAGCTGCGATGCTCGTGGCGAAACTCCAACCAGAGACTGGATGATTTCATCGGTGGTTTCGCTGCAGAATCGAACGCCTCAAAAATGGCAAGAGATTTGGCACCACATTCGAAAGACGGCACGGAAGGTCCTCAGATGTCCAAGGTGAGGCTAGCGGCGGCTGCGGTCAAGCTGTGCAAACCGTGTAGCAAGCAAGCAGCTGCACACGCTGTTGCGCGCCCCTCCATGCCGCAACAGCAGCTGATAGCACCGGTGTCAGATTGGAACAAGGCAGAACTGGTGTCAGATGCTGCGTGCTTCTGGTGGCTGGACTCTGAACAGAAGTGGCATCACTGGCGATATGTTGCTAGCACTCAGAATTAGCCTTCTGGCGGGTTCTGTGCCACAATGGCATGTTGGGTTAGATCCTGCCTGAAGATCTTGAAGGTGAGTCTGAGAAGTGCTCGTAGAATGCATGATGGGAAAACAGGTAAACCAGAGATTATAACAGATAAGCATAGATAAGCCGCACATTTGCAATTGGGCATACTGTGTGCCAGGCATATATCTTAATTCCTACATGTACAGCTGGACATCTTTGAATACCTCACCCACCTCACAAAACAGTCAATCCAACATTTGACCTTATATGATATGTAATTACACTGTGTATATACATACTGTATCCGTCATGTTTGTCTTCCCTTCTGAACTACATCTACAGAGCAAAATGTCCCTCAGAAACACCCGTCATGGTCGACCATGCCAGAAACCACTCGCGCCACTCGCTCTCTCGCGCCACTCGCTCTCTCGCGCCACTTGCCGAGGACGTGAAGCGCTTCTTGTGCGACCCCGGGATCTCCATCGTCGCCATGGCCCGGGAGACCGAAAGCGAGCGCTGCGCGCGGATGGGACGCGGTCGAAAGCGGATCGAGCGCCCCCTCCCCGAAGATCGTGGATGGATCCAAGTTGAAAAGAAAGTCATGTAATGTAGACTCTTGATTGATCCCATTTGGATTGAAACACCTCCTCAATTTGTTTGTTTGCATGGGCAGGTGATGTAATGATGTATTTACTTCATCCACAATATCTGTGTAGAGTGAGACAAATTTATCTTCCAATGTTACCTCCAATAAGGCTCTTTGGAGATGATTCAGACATGCTGCTTAGAACTTCGGACTGGGACTCTTTTGGAAGTGTCAGGGCAGCTACAGTAGTATTAGATTAGTCTCAATCAAAATCATCCAGACAACCGCTCCTGGTCCAGCCAGAGAGTCGATGCCAGAGTAGCTACCTGGAGTGGCTACCTCGCCCGGCGCCGAGGCCTTTCCCACACCTACATCTGCCAGTCAAGGTGTCTCATCGATCGGAGGTTGTTTTCTTGAGTTTTCGTGGCAGGCCTAGCGAACATCCCCAAAGGCGTCGGACGGGGCTTGGACTTTCCATGGGTTTTGGTCCGGTTTTTGAGTGGGTCCATACAGTCCATACCGTCTATAAGTCATGGTCATAAAGTTATATGGTCATATAGTAGCTTGGGTTTTCCATGACCTGCAGCCCTGTGGGTTATACGTAGGTCGTATAGTTGTGCGCCACCGGAGCATCAATCGGCATGCGTCCTGGGTGGTGCTTTGGTTCCCCTTCTACGGCGCTACAGGGTCGCCCTCAACAGGAATTTGGAAAGCGGAACACCCTGACCTGGACCCTCTAACAGATGTTTCCTGGTGGCAACAGGTGTCCAGAAACCACCTGTTAGGGTTTAGTAATGGGCACTGTGGCTTCACTCACTGCCAACACGACATGGAACGACTAATGCCGCAAAGGACCGCATGCAAACTGTAAACTAGCAAAGACCAATTTGTGCAAGGGCTTTTGCAGAACAACAAGGTCTCTGACCTTCATTGACTGCTTGTCCCTTGCAAGAGGATTGAAGAGGAAGGCATTGCTTTGCAGTGGGTCGCAGGACCATGCCAACAACATCAAGCAGCGAGCATTCCCGGATGGCACAGATCAAATGCTGTGTGATACTGTGTATATATCATTATCTCAAGAAACAACACTTGGTTGTAGGGCATTGGCAGGTCATCCACTGTACCTAGGGCTCTTCTTAGGGACCCACCATGGGATGCCCTGGACTGCGAGGAGTGCAATGGTGCCAACGACGGTGCATGGTGCCAACGATCTATTTGTCTATGGTGAAATGGAGGAAGCTGAACCATATCTTGAAACCGTAGACATTTAGGATGTACAAGGCATGAGCATGAACATGGTTTTGGTATGTTTTTGCTTGTTCATTTGTTGATGAACAAGACATCTCATTGCATCACGTGGGGCGGGGCCAAGGGACAAAAGCTGCACCAACTGGGTCCAGAATGGACCCTGTGCGGCGCCAGGCACGGTCTTTTTGCAGGCCAGGCACGGTCGGCCTGATCATCAGGGAAGGAGGTTCATGAGTATCCAAGTAGATAGATGCACTACGACTTTCCTGCATGGAAGCAGAACAATTAAAAACTGTTTGTAGTTTGCAGTAGAAGAGTTTAATCATCTTCCGGTTCCATGTGTCTGGGAGAGTGCACCTTAGTGTGGTCCAGCCTCCCCAGAGAAACCCATCCCCGAGACCATCTAGTCCACAGATATGAGCGGGATTTTCTTGCCACCCAAAATCGAACAGCTAACCCTTGTTACTAGTATAGCTTCTTGTTACTAATAGTGATGCCAGGAGCTACTATAGTAGCTTCTAGCTACTAGTAGCGATGCCCTTGTTACTAGCAGCCTTAGCATTTGAGTTCACCCAATTCCCGCTGTATTCGACTTGGGGTCGTTTGGATTCTTTTTCAAGAAGCTGACCGAGTGACCGAAAGATCCGGTTTTGGCCCTGCAGAGAGATCCCCACCGACGGGGGCATCGCTACTAGGAACAAGTGCATTATAGTGCATTACTACTAGTAGTTAGAAGCTGACTGAAGCAATTGAAGCCGGACATTGTGGCTCTCGGTGGTTCTAATTGAAACCAGGCGGTTCTTGGACCATGTGGCTTGGTTCGGGGCGGTCACCGACGACCACGCCGTGGTCGAAGCAGGGTGGTCGATAGGTTGATGCGTTGGACCCTAGGAAAACGCATGTAATTAGATAGTTCTGCTTTTTTGGTTTCCAAGCCGAAGAGGCGATTGACACATGGCCTCAACACCTCAAGAAATGACAGGTCTCCAAATGATGGCCTCAGAATGGGCTTGCAGGCTCCAACGATTTTTTGAGGTCCATAGCGTTTCATTGGGGCGAAAAGGGCTTCAGCTTCGAGTTTCTGTGAGGCTTCGGCTCTGGCATTGTCCAAGGTATTTCATTGAGCATGGTGGCCATGGTGAAATATGGTGCCACGGTGAAATATGGTGTCATGACTTATAGTACGTCATTGCATCGTATACCATGTGGCTATCACATTGACATGTTGTGGCAACGTTCTGGCTGCCATGTTCTGAGGAAGACTGTTCTGTACAGTATACCTATAAATAGAACCTCCAGTTATACTTTATTTTGGACCACCAACCACCCAATATAGGGCCCAACATCATGTTTGGGCTCTACATCGAGCCGCATGGGGCGCCCAACGACCTGGTCGTGCCTGGTCGGTTGGCCAGTCCTCGCGCCGCTCAGTTCACCTGGGACGGCCTGGGGCGAGACGTGATCTCCTCCGGCGCGGTGCTGGCGTTGGGGAGCCGAGCGGGGCGGGGCGTGGAGACGAGCTGACCGGTGCAGACTGGAGCAACTCGGACTACGAAGGACTAGAACCCAGTGGTTTTGAGGTTCCATGTCAAGGTGTGGAGTGGACATGAGGCTCCCCCGAAGCTACTCAGCTACTCCGTCACGAGCGGGACTGGGCTCTTGAGCACAGCAACTCCAAACTCCAATCCAGGGATGTTCCCTCAAACCAAACCACTTAACTGAACTCCTAGGCCTCAGAGGATTTTTTGGAGGGTGGTCCAATTTGCGAAACAGGCGTTTCGTGCCAAATCCCCTCTCCCAAAATCGACCCTTCCCATGCTTTCCTTGTTTTGCCAGCTCAGGTTCCCAAGAAGCCCCAGGTGGCTTCGTGAAGAGTACCAAATCCTTGTAGATTCGTATGTCATTCTGTTCATGTTTGGAGAGCAATAGGAGTCCAAAAGCATCCAAAAGGTTTGAACCATCGCATACCCATGTATCAAGGTTTCAGTGACTGTTGTACACAGGGCCGGGATGACATGACATGTACTTGCATGCTCCGGGCTCTTCTAATCAGTGCTTCTAATCCCAAACCGTCAAAGCATCTAAACTGACCAGAAAATCCAAGCAATTTGGACCTTGTCAAAGACTCAAAGACATGGACCCTGGGTTGTCTTAAGGTTTTCTCTAGTTTATCTTAGCTTGGAGTCTTTGAGGACGTCACATTCAGCTAGTGCCCGGTCCGTGCTTTCAGGTACATGAAGACGTCCTCGGAAAGTGGCGACGCTTCGCGCGACAGCAGGTGGGCTGAGGATGCCAAGTCCGTAGCAGCACACGTTGGGCGGAAAAGTTCACAGTGGATGCACTGGTTGGTTCAGCTACAATGTGAATGAATAATTTGTACGTATATAGACGAAAAAGCTTCATATAGTTCGTTGATGTTCGTTGTGAAAGGAAAAGGACAACATATATAATTAGGAAAACCTCTTCAATCCTTTTTCGGATCCTGAACTGGATCGCGGCACGAGCTGTGGGCCATGGCACCCGGAGCCCAGATGATCCAGGTAGGTTGACCTCTTCAGTGCTGCGCATTTTTGTGGGTCAACGGGGTCTTAGCTTTGACCCACAGCCACATGGGTTGGTACTTTTTTAAGTTCCTTGGCCGGGACGTTTGACTGTGGGCTATGCTTCGGAGGTATGCTTCGCGCAGTGTGAAGACTTTAAAGACTTGATCTTTAAAGTGTAGCATTTTCGGAGGGTATGCTTCGGGGTATGCTTCGCCTAGGTCGAACACCCCAGTCCTACATACACTGGACACGTGTAATTCGAAGACAAACCCATGTATATCCCACCATATCCCTACCCTGCCATCATCGAATCCGCGGTCCGAACGGCCGTCCGCACGGTCCGACCCGGACGGAGTGGTTGTTCGTCCGACGCTCCGGACGGGACGGAGCGTCGGACGGGACGGGACAGGAGCTTGTTGGGTATATGTGTTTTTTTGCGATAGCAATGCAATAGTCACACCGGTGGTTGATTGGACATCCTGAAACATCCGCAGGTGGACATTCACCGAACTCGAGGCTAGAACCGGATCCGATCCGGAAGGGATCGGACTTCGACTTCAAAAGACCTCGGTTGGCCTCGGCTGCCAGGCGCTACTTCCCCAAGACCTACCAGTTCCCTGAGATCGGCACTGACTTCGAGGTGCTGTTGGGCTAAATGAAACCTGCGAAGACTCAGCGAGGTTTGCACGCTGCAGGTCTGTGAGACTCAAGCATGATATTCCAAACGAAAGCATATCGTATTTTCGGGGGTAGGGAGGTTATGTATAGTAGGATTCCCCACATATGGCAGCGAAATTTGGGTGTGGGTCGAAATCAATCCACCCAAACCTTGCAGTAGAAATCTGAAAGTTTGTATTTCTTGATGTGGGGCATTGAGATGAGCTGGCAGTGAAGCCTGCAGGATGCTCACAGGGAACAGCTCGAGCAACTGCCTCCATGCAATCCAGAACGAAGCCAATGTTGCAGGAAATGCTGTTGTTGTTTTGATTTTCTATTTTTTTGTTGCGAGGTTGAATCGACAGCTCCAAGATGAAACTGATGTCATTCGAATAGACATCGAGCAGGCCAACATGTGAGCAACCATCAATTTTGAGGTGTCACCATGTAACTAGGGCTCCGGTGCAGCGTTCAAATCGAGCGTTCCGCCGGGTCTTCAGCACAATGGGTGGATGAAAATAGGGAGAACCTCCCTCCCGACACCTAGGAAGTCCCTGGAAGAAGGCCCATTGGTTGACGCGTCTCCCGTGTTTGACGCGTCTCCGCGTGGGAAGCCATGCGTTCGCCATGGGTTTGGGAAGACCATTCTTCGGAGACGCGAAAGGTCACGAAGGAAGACGTAGACTCTTTGGAGCACGGTTCGACCTGCACTCTCAACACGGAATTCATCGGATGATGAAAGGTGACGACGGGGACGAAGCACCTCTGCAGAGAAGCTGTATAAGGTGCAAATTCTATTAGTTGCGCAGACAAACTTCTTCAGACATGAGGCAAAGAAGCACGGCAAGTTAGACATATTTTCTTGCGAGATCTTATTTCGGTGTGAGGTCTGGAGCGGTGGTTGGTTTCTGCATGTGAAAGTTCCGCTTTTTCAGCACCGCACCAAACATCGATTCAACCAGGTACCATCCAGGTGAGGTGGTCTCTGGAGGGATATGCAGAGTAATATGCAGACAAAGTTTGCTAGCACCCATGATTGACTCGAAGGATCTAGAAGGTATGAAACCGCACATCTTGGCCCATCGTGGAACTTTTCAGAAACCTCCATCATCCTCCCTGTATTGAAAATTCACATGAAGAATCGTGAACACTATGGTCTTCAATGCTGCCGTGCGGGTACTCCAGAAAAACACCTCAATTATTCAACAACTGCATACAAGATGTTGCTGTTCTGCACTGACTGGACAAAGGGCTATGACTTGGAGTAATCAAAAACTGCTGGAATTTGTTTGTCCCCCGAAGCTACAGGAACAAAGGGCATCGCTACTAGGACCGGACCAAGGACGCTACGTTCGGGGCTCCTGGCCACACTACTATAGGAACAAGAAGAAGCTAATAGGAGCAAAAGGCATCGCTACGAACGGAACAAGGATGATTCAATGCAAGATGACGATGGATGGGCCCGACAGCCACATGCATGGGCACTGCAGGCCATTCCTGGCCATGCCTACGCCTGTCCAGGTTCTCTTTCTCTTTTGAGATAGTGACATGTAAGGTTCCTGCCTCCCAGTTTGCTCAAGTTTCTGCCCTATTCCTCACCTACTCCTCTTTTTCCATCTTTTTCCCTTGTCTCTCTTGCTTTTTGTTCTCTCCGCTTAGAAGACTTGAGAAAGATTTGGCCAGTGTTTTTCATTTACTGCCCAGAGGTTGAGCTTCCTTCATCTCTTAGGAAGTGAAGAGATACCTTTACAATCTGTTACACACTTTTACACAATTATTTTGGTTTCATGGTCCGCCGTTCTCACTAGAAGGACTTCATTCACATTAGTGAAGAGAGTGCTTTGTGAGGCCTCTCACGAGAAGCATGGTTGCTACTACCAAAGAGGCATGTTGAGCCACAAAGAAGAACGCACACATACAGTAGCAGGACTCTTGCAGCCTTATGAATCCTTTACGGGGTCCATTTTGGAAGACTGTGGGGTTCTCCACGAACCTGATGGAAGCGACTGTGCTGCATGACTTCGTCAGCGGGCAGGCAGCGCCCGGTGCCTTGCCGACAGCTGCCAGAACGCGACCCGGCTGTGAGACGTGGTGTGAAGACTTCGACGGTCTGCCGGTCTACCCAACTCCAAAACCTACTATGCGCAGCCCCTGGCTTCTTGATTTTTGAATAGTACGTGGGTTTAGTTGGGAGTCAACTGTCGAACCCCCCTAAAGTGGCAGATTGGACTTGTTGAGGGACCAGGTCTAGACAGATGTATACGGCCAAATTCTCGGGAGCAGCTTGCGAGGGTGGCCGGATCTGCTCAGTTTTGAAGAGCATCGTCATGCGGACGCTCTTTCCACTATCCGCCTCGTTCGTTTGGTAAGATGTTTGCTGCCACGATGACATTGGATCTTCAGCGTCCTGTGAATCTGTATGCCTGTTTCACTTCTGCTTCCAACGGTTGGGATGATGAGACGAGTCAAACAAAGCAACCTTCAACCCGGCCATTGATCCAAAGTGGAGCATAGCACTTGCAAACAACAGCAGTAGTTTCTGCAAGGATGTTCCTACAGTATATAGTTCTATTTTGTGTTTGTTCTTGTGGTTTCTTAACAACTCCCAACTCCTGCACCATTCCACCTCAAGGTTTTCTTCCACATCTCCATCACAGCCAAGGAAGTTTGAGTTTCACATGACACTGGGGCAGAACGGCGACCCCATCAATCAGGCGAACGGCCTGGGCCCTCCATCCGAGACACTGGCCGGTGTGGTGACATCCGTCGCCAGCCAGAGTGCCACAAGCGACATCATGGACTGTCGGTCACCAAGTGTTGTCGACATGGGGAGGCGTGTTTCCCCAGTAGTATGGAACAGTTGGGACAATGGCTATATAGAAAAAGGGTGTGACAAGTGTAGGATAAATGCTTTGGCTCTGACTGTTTTTAAGTGTCCAGATCAGGACATTGAGATCAGTTTTAGGAACGAAACACAACAATGGTTTTGTGTTCATCAGAGTCTCGAAGACTCGGATGCTGAATTAGGTCTGCCAAGGTATCCCAGGTCCCAGATCGTTGGTTTCTTGCCTTGCTAGTTTGTGTATGAGCGGCGGGGACACCCTGGGCCTCTGGTCGCCTGGCCACTAAGGGAACCCTAGCGCTTCAACTACCTCCTCAAGAGGTACGAAGCTAGACCCTCTAATCCCACTCCACACACCCTGGAACTATTGCGGCCGCCCTGTGGCCTGTGTTCTTTAGGGTTTCCAGGAGGCACTCGATCCAATACGCAGGTGAACCAGAACATCCAGAAGGTGAAGGCTCTCCGCGAGCGCAGCGAACCGAGCACGCAGCAGCTTCCGCAGCGCGTCCACATGTAAATTGTGCAAGGCCACAAACACGATATAATCCGGTATAACAAAGAGATGGCTATGGGTTTGGGGGTGGCAATAGAAGATTAAGCAATATATATATACATATATATATATACCATATGTTATACTATTGTACTATATATTAGTTATATGTAGATGACATACGCACATTACCTCTAGATGATGTAATTATCCATATGTTATGTTCAAAGACGAGGCCCCTGATCATAGACTGTTGTGTGTTCACCTTGATTCATTCGTGAGACCGGCGAGCGCCCAGATTTCGCCGGGAGTCGGATGGGACGGGCCTTTAGGACCAGGATCATCGTTGGCTGGCTTGGCATATCCCATGGGCAACGCAACGTGTGGATATATTTTGGAAGTTGAAATCTACTTCGAGGGGTTGTTAGATACAAGAAAGCAAACACAAGCTGGCCGCTCCTGACTTGAACCGGTCTGACTGTGACTGCAACAAAATAAACATCACCATCATCTCAGAAGATCCATGTATCGTCTATTTACGCTATTTACGCTATTTACTGTTTACCTTCAGGGGTCATTGGCCAGGCATGATTACATGGCTGCAGAGTCTTCTTTCAGAGTTCCTGAGACACACAGATTGCCTGAAGAAGATGTTGAAACGACTCACCGTCGTCGTCGTTCGATGGAAAGAACATATAACAAAACACCACCGGACCACCGACCCAGACATGACCTCAATTGTTTAAAAGGAAAGCCAATTTGGAGTCTAAAATAGAGGTCACTCAGGGTCTAGGCCCTAGGGCTCCAACCATCTCAGGTTCGGTGGTTAGACCCCCCTGGCACCCACCCCTGTCCCATCTTCGAAACGGAGGTGGGCCAGGAGGTGTAGGGAGGTATTAATCCCTGTGTGATCTTCGGTCTTCCCCCACGCTCGACGCGTCAAAAACCATGTCGCCCGAGCTGCGCCGAGCCGCGGGGCCACAGGCGGAGTGGAATGAGATGATCGTGCAAGAGGCCGGGGGTGCGGGAGAAAGGATTTGGGAGATAACATTTGAGAAATAAGCACCTAAGACAAAGAACACATACAATTAAAATAGATGGATCAAAAGCAAACGCAAAATAGACAATACAATGGCAAATATGTGTTACTGTTAACTACTTTATTGTTATGTTTGTTATTTTGGGTGTGTATTTGAGATCCGGAAGACGCTTCCAAGATCTTGGGAAACGCATGGGAGGTCTCCCTAATGCCCTAATCAACACGAACGGCGCGGGAAAGAAAACGGATCGAGGGACGGCCGCTTCATGGGACGGTTCTGTACGCCCCTTGTTCCGGTTCGACCAGTGTAGGAAGATCCAGCGGAAGGAATGGAGCTTGAAGGGTGATGATTTGATCGGATGAAGTTGCTGATCTGATCAAAGCTGCTGATTTGATCTGAGGGGCTGGACCAAGATGAAGATAATTGAGCATTTTGGAGCTCAAGCCATTGTGGGGGGCCCATCAAACTGAGAGAGCAGAGCCAACGTTTGGTCTAGAGTCTAGCTAGATCTCAAAATATATAAATATAAGATCTAGTAATATCTAGTATATAGATCTGAAGAAAAATCCTTCATTATAAATTAATTATAAGCAATTAATTAAAGTATATGAGCCTTGGAGCGATTGTCATGGCCACCATCCACTGTTTGCCAGATGCTGCCCTACTTCAAAGAGGTGCAGAAGCGTGAAAATCCGCAGGCGCACAAAGCGGAGGTCGCTGCGGAGTGTTCGACGCCCAGCCAAGACATGGCAAACATTTAAATATGTAGGAATGAAGGACTGTCGAGACTGTTGACGGAATATTTTCACATCAAGTTTTTTCTTTCAACCTCCAAGGTGAGGCCGGATTTCCTCCAACCGAGCTACTGTATATATATATATAGATGTATATGTGATGCATAATATATATATATATATGTGTGTTCCTGATCTTCCTGGAAGATAAAACATTACCCACCACGAGACTCCTGGCTTCATTCCCAAGTGGTCCTCTGAATGACTAGGAGGCTTCCAGTAGGGCTCAAATCATAGGTGTTTGAAGATCGTGCCTTCAAACCAGCTGTTTGGTTGGACAGTCAATCATCCTCCAGGTGGTTTTGGATTATCAATGACTATTAAGGAGGACATTCTATGCGCACTGCCAGTCTTTGGATTGCACCCAATTGCTCTTGACAGTTTCCAAGAACAAAACACTTTCCAGCCGAGCAGCAAGTCGAACAGAAGGGTAGCTGCTGAAATCATCGGCACTTGGAGAACACGGTCGCGCTGAAACGCTGCATCCCTTCGAAGATGCGGTTGGGATTTGATGAGGTTTTTCTTCCATCCATGGAACAAAAAAACATCCCAAAACATAAATGCGTTGATTCTTTTGGTTGCTCCTTTTCTTCCATGGAACAGACAACAACGCAGTTGGATGGATCAGACCTGATCAGCCACGTTCGCGGAACTGCTGCGGTCCACCTCTTTGCAGGTGGACTTCTACTACGCCAGCGGTGACATTGATAGTATTGAGGTACTGCCACCCTCAGTGGGCCACGTTCGGTGGGTGCCCAGTCCGACTGGAATCCATGCCAAGAAGCCTTGTTTGATACCACGGAAGATGCAGATCATGTCCGACGGACGTTTGGAAGCAACGGAAGGGTGTGGGACGCTGTGGGACCAGATGTTATACGTGATGGGCAAATCGTCGATCATCTCCCAGGTCATTGGCGATTGGGAGGAGTCGTCTCAAATACCTTTTGAGGATGTATGCTACTTGGATCTATATAGAGTATTCAAGTTCAATGAAATGATGATTCCAGCGGGCACATGCTTTCTGTTCTGTGATTTCCATGGGCCGCGGTGTTGATTTTATTTCACTCTTCCAAACAGAGAATTCTCGTGGTTATTCCGAGTTTCCATTGTCTGGACGAGAGCAGTCGATCTATTTAAAAGAAGTGTTACTGTTCAGGAATTTGATTGCTTTCCTGTGATTTCCTCATTTCTGGGGCCCTTGAGTTCGTGATTCCCGTCCAATAACATTGTTTCTGGAAGCTGCTCCCACCCACGAAATGGAAGATCCCGGGAGTACTAGGGAGAAAAGGTGGAGACGGTAGAGGCACATTGTCAAAGGGGTTCCTCCAAAATGACTTTTGAATCCTTTTACTAAAATTTTGTGAACCTATGTTTGTTTGGAGACTCAATTAGATCTGTTCCTTTCGTACACTGACATGCTTGATGCAAAAAACACCATGTGAAGCCATGGGTCGACCAACTGCGCTGACCAATGTGGAACCCTGCAGGTTGACTCTCTTATTGTTTCTCCCCATCTTTGGAGCCCGGGCATGCCCAAGCTATGGGACCATGTCCGAACTTGTGGTGGTTGGCCGCATTAAACTCACTGGCCTCTCATGCTCAAGCATAAGCGTGATGTGGGCGACCCCAAGTCATGGGCCAGGAGGATGAAGTCGAAGGCTGCCAAGATGGGCCAAGCTGTAGATCATGGCAGAGATTGTGAAGTCGAATCAACTCAACTTCTTTGGGGGCCGTCCATATCTTCCAACATCTTAGTGCACAAGGTCTCGTCACGTCTTTCCCCTTGCCATCAAACCCATCAAACTGCTAACATCTCACGAATCGCATGGAAGTTTCTCTGGTGAACTTCATCTCTCAGGTGGTGAGCTTCATGAATCCAAAAAACGTGACCTTTCTCCACCAACCGGCTCGGCCGGTGTCCCCCGCTTTCTCAGCTCGGCCGGCGTTCTCTCGGTGCCGAGCCCGAAGCCCAACCGGGTCCGTTGGGGCCGAAGCCTTCGGGGCGGTCCTCCCACACCTAGACCCGGTTGGGAGGTCCACTCATACGTGTCCGAGCGCTGGCAACGCGAGAAGGAACTTGAAGCGCCTTAAGAATCCAATCCCTCAATCACGGTTTGAAGTTTTGAGGGTCCGCGGATTCCTGCTGCGGGGAGGCTTCGACCCCTGCTGTGGAGGGCCCAAGGTTTCTTGGTTTATAGGTGGACCATCCGGCATCATCCAGCGAGAGATGAACATTTCTTTAAACATTTGATCTTTCTTGAGTGTTCTGGAGGTTTGAAGTCCTTTGTATCTGTGTGCTCACGTGGAACTGTTTCCATCATCGACTGTCCCAGAGTGTTTCCAGCACTGCTGCTGAACCAAGTGCTGTCAGGTAACTGTTTTCCCTATGATGGTTGGTGGTTTTGAATACTGCATCTAAGGATCTAAGAGGTTACCTGGGAAGATCAATCCCAATGAGAGTGCATCGATCTTCAGTGGGGAAGTAAAGCACCAACCAGGGTCTCCTTTTGTAACAACTTGTTGATTTTCACCTGCACCGGGGTACCTGGTCTTTCTGCTACCGGTGTTCGTAGCAGAAATGGGACAAGCTCGCCGTCCGAGCTTGAACTGTTTGACCTAGGGCTCATTGGGCCTTAGGGCTGTCATTTTTGAACAGATTTGTGGATAATTCACCAACCCCTGCCAAGATTTGAAGATGTTTCTTTCTTGTGTGTCTGAAAGTCCTGGAAGTAAGGACCATCAAGGAACTTTTCCCAATCATTTCAAGATGAAGGCAAGGTTCCTGCATGACTTTCCCATGTTTAATTTACACAGTTTTCCATACGAACTAGCAAGGGCCACCCAAAGGAGACCAAGTACTGTACAAGACTTATTGACCTGGTGGCACCTCGCATGGTCTTCACTTCCTCATGAATAAACAGCTTCTAACCGTGAAGCTCCCCTCGTTTTCAGGTCCGTCCGGCGTTGTCCCATGGCCCTTTTGCAGTGCTGCTTTGAAAGCCGGGGCGCTCAGGAGACGAACCACCTGTCTGTGAGGGTCCTGTGTGACCAGGAACAACCCCACGACCTGCACGTTTGTCACGTTTGCCTTCGGCCGTTCTTATTTAGCCAGAAGGCTGAGAGCCACAGTAACAATTCCTTTTTGCAACTGGGTATTGCGTGCATTTGGGGAATTTGGGGCATGCATGATATTTTGAGCTTCACTGATGGGGCACATGGCCGACGAACAAGGTTTTTGCGGAGCCCAATATATTGAAAGAAACTGAACCAAGAGACAGGTTAGTAGAGTGTATGCTGCTATGGCTATATACATATGTGATGAGGAGAAGAACTCGCAATGAAATCCTCTTAAAGCGCAGCTTTTGGATCTCGATCTGTCTCAGTCAGCAGAACTCTCAGTCGCAGCTTTTGTACTTGCCTTGGATGCTGCGAACCACACATGGATGTTTGTTGTTGCATGGCCGGGCGGTTGGGAAGATGTAACACATGCATGTGTGTTGCTGAACTATACTGAGGTCACTAGTCCATTGGTTGGTGTTGTTCTTTGCTTTTTTGAAGGGGACTGCTTTTCCCCATCTGCAGACGGGCACTGCTTTTCCCCGTTTTTCGTAGACCGTGTGAGGTGCTGACTACGTGGAGTTGATCCAGTATGAGGAGGAGCATCAAGATGGAGCCGCTCAGACCAAACAAACTCCCGCCGACAAAGCATATGCGTTTGTGGAGTTTCATATTTTGTTTCGGGGGATGGGCAAAGGTCGACTTGTGTGCGTGTGTGTGTTCGTTTTTTTTCAAGATTGTGTTCAGTTCAGTCTATTGTTATTGTTTGATTATAGTAGTATGCGTGTTTTAACATAATGTATTTACCTCTATTTTGGGTCTAAGTCTAATGTTCTGAGCTTCGAGTTGGGAGTTGAAACCTTTGCTGGTTCGAGGCCGGTTGAGCCGGAGGGCTGGAGAGTGGCATCAACTCAATCCTTTGCCACAAGCCAGCGGAAGCCAACACAACTCATTTGTGTACCAACTACCAGTAACTATCAGGCTGTGTCATGAAGCTAGTGGGGGTCATCTTTTGGTACTCTGGATGTCACTTGGGCGCCCTAATATGGAGATCTGGTCATTATCATGGAAGTAGTTATCCAAGTCTGTCCCAGCGGTATTCACTTGTACTCACTCTAACAGCTGGTTCACCCGGAAACTGCTGGTCATTGGTTCCTCCTCTTCACATCCTGTCTTGGGTCCTCAAACTTCATGGTCTCTGTCTGACCAGCAGGTCTGTGAGAAGAACCACCGCTGCGGTCCCTGTATCTTCAGACCGAAAACTGCTGCAGATTCTGCAGCTCGGCGCACCGGCACCGCAGTGTCAGGTCACGCGGACCTTGAGTAAGATCCAGGAGAGGCGGATGAGGGGCGCCCAAATCCATCATGACTGGCTGGGTTCCGTGGTGTGTTTCTGTGACTTGCTGGTGAAACTTGGTGACATTGGAAGAACATGAGGGAGGTTTAATGCCAGTCTCGGTGGCTGCAACCTTTTTGGGATGGAAGCAAGATGCACCCAAATGGAAAGTTGGGAACACGGATTTCTCGTTGAAAGGCTAGCGCATCACGAGGTGAACACAGACACAATCTTCCTGAAGCGACCACGCCAAAGCTTGCAAGTTGTGTGTGTGTGTGGGTGTTGGTCGGCCAGGATGCCTGAAGAAGCAAGCTGCAAGAAATTGAAGTTGTCCTTTTCCTTGTTATATTACTACGGCTGGAAACAAAACGCTTGGACAAATGGATCAGGGTATGGATATGGATATGTATGGATCAGGAGGTGGGTATGTGATCCAACGCATTGGATCACATGGTCGACTCAGATGACCGTTTGCTTCTTGGGCAACTTCAGTACTACGTATGTACGTTGTCCAGATTTGTCCAGCATGGGGCTGGAATCATATGCCTCCTTATTGACCACTTTTCAACCACCCTAAGCCTAAGCGATCGGCAAATATGGCAGTCCCATTGGTTGTGTCTAGGACAGGTAAGGAAGCTTTGTGTAGGCCACACACACACACAAACACGTGGAAAGCACCAGCCCAATTAGCCCTGCTTTTTTTGCCACCTGACAAGGGCCAGCAAGAACAAAACAGTTGGAGTGGCTGATTGATGCTGCTTGGTGTCCTTTCCCGCCCAAGTGTTTTCTCTAAGCTTGTGATGCTCTCCGGGAGAGGTGTGTACGAGCAAAACTACCGAGCGATTCACGATCCCTCAAGGCGAACAGAAACACTGAAAGCCGAGCCGAAACAGCTCGTTGTCGTCATGGGCAGCTGGCGAAGGCAGCGGTGTCAGACAGATGGAGCAGGAGTTGCTGCCTTCGCCAGCTGTTTGCCCATCCAGCTGGATTAGGAGAACTTGACCATCCGTCTTGGTCTAATTGAGGAGCAGTCGTGGAGTCGTGGAGGGCCCAACAGCCCGCTTGATCTCAGTTCTTGGATTTGGGAGGGTGGAGTGCTCCAAAACAATGTACTTCAAAGAACATATCTCAAACATCTGGAGCACACAGCCCTTCACGCAGCCTTGGCCCTTTTGGCATTTGGCAAGGTAGCTTTGCCAAAGCAGACCATGACTGGTCAGACTGGGGGCCCCACTTCAGGGATGCGGCCGCCATCGATGACGAGGGCAACAGATTCTTTGCGGGCAGAGCAGGAGCTTGCCAAAATGGGCAAAGCAATCCAAGTG